ATGCTCAAGTTGATTAAGCATCTGACTACGAAATCAGAAGGTCTGAGGCAGGGAACTGGATACTTAATTTTATTTTTACTTCCTCGCAGGGACCAATTATCATTAACCACGGGGGAGGGGGTTGGTGGATTTTAGAGGATCACATGACTTTCAGGGGGAAAGGAAGGGAAATCAGTCGTCGCCGACAGAGTTTAAAGTAATATTTATCATCTCTTTTTGCTCAAAGATTTTGCTAATAGCTTGATACAAGAATGTACAACGACTCTACTTTTATGTCCCCTACTGAACTGTGATAGAGCCTAACTATCTTAAACACCTCACTTTTGTTTTTTTTTTCTTTACATTTAGGTATTGGGTCCTGCAAAGAAGCTTACAACCTTTTCAAGTAGGTGATACCAAATGATTATCTTTTCGAGCATAAAAAAGACAAAATTATCGAATAGTTTCGACGTCGAGAGAACATTTTTTGCCGCAAACTAATATGATCGATCACGAATGGATTTCTTATCAAACAGGTCAAACGCCAGTCAACTGGTTACATTATACCTTGACTCTAAACCAATCACAGTTCTCTGTCAGATGGGGGATTTCGGATGCGGAGATGGAGGATGGACGCCTGTAATAAAGACTGACGGCAACAAGGTAGGCTTCTTTTGGCGGAATATTCTAAGCGGGGTTTTCTTGCGGCGATGAAGCAAGACATTTTCAGTAGCGTCGAAACTACGATAGAATCTCTTAACAACTCGCCCATATTCTTCTCGCGGCCTCTGCTTGCGGAAATTCCTTTGGCATGAGTGCTACAATACCCTAATATCTAAAAACGCGACAAATTGCTAATTAACCCACTTGCAAGTAGGGTACAGATTGATGGCTTTTACGCTAACTTTATTACTGATTTCATGAGGGTCCTGCCCTTGGTTATGCATCGTGTTATGTATGTTTAAGGATGAATTAAATCCTCTAAATTCTTTTTAGGCAACGTTTGACTATGACTCTCACTACTGGAGTGATAAAAACCAATACAACATCCCCGGCGGGAGGACTGGGTTTGACTCACAAGAGACCAAGTTACCGACCTATTGGAACACACCTTTCTCCAAGATCTGTCTCGGTATGAAGATAAGTGGACAGCTTAGGTTTATTGTCATTAACAAGGAGGCCAACTCTCTGCTCTCTCTGATCGCTGATGGGATATGGCGCGCTTCTTCACTGGGTCGTAACGAGTGGAAGAATTTGATTGGTGAACAGGGCTCTTTGCAACCGAACTGTAACAAGGAAGGCTTCAATGCTGTAGGCACCTCAAGTGATAATTCTAAAGCAAGAATTGGTTATATAGCTAACGAGCAAAACGATTGTGCCTCTTGTGACTCCAGAATTGGGTTTGGTACCGGAGGACGCCCTAATAACTCCAATACGTGTGGAAACGCAGCACTTCATTCCTCAGATAATGGTGACAGAAACATTAAAGCTATGGGATATATTTTGGTGCAGTAAACTCTTTCAATCTATGTATGACCTTAGAAAACTCACTAAGAATGGGGGAGGGGAGGTAGGGAACTGAATAAAAGCCTTTTTCCGTGTATCCATTCCTCTCCCTTCTTCCCTCAAACGCCAGAGTGAAAACTTGCTAAGCAGATTATAGATTGCTCGCCGTTTACTTGACAAATATATTCCATGTTGCCGCGTGTCTGTTCGGTAAGAAATCGCAATTGACGTCAAAATGTTTGTAGAAACGAGAAGGGGTAACAACAAGGCGCAGTCGAGTTTGTCACTGATGTTATTTTATTGCTGATATTACTTATGTTTATTTTATTTATTCTTATCACATTTTGACGTCATCTTTTATTTATAACAGAACAAACTCACGGCAATCTGACGTTGATGACGACGTCACCCATGCGTCTATTCTCAATTATATTACAAATTATATTAAAGAGCCCTTAAAAATAAGAGAATAGTTCAGCTCTTCTTAATTCATTTTCTTCCGGTATGCGGCCAGTGCGAAGACGAGAAGAGACCTGAATAAGGACTTTACTAGCATGGGTTCCATTTGTACAACCATCTGAGCCCAAAGTTTTACGGAAATTCAGTCGACTGGCTGCTAAATTTACTGTGATGTTTAAATCTTAAAAAAAAGCATAGCCAGGATGATAACACGAGATCATTTTAAGGCACTCGCTAAACATTACCACCAATAGGCCTCTGTTGACCATGTCAAAGACCACCTCATGTGACCCAGCAAAATCCAGTGGATCATTTTGGTATTTTGGCGCCGGCAAAACTTATAAGCATTAAAAAATTAACAAAAAAATGGTATTATTCCTTCAGGTTGAGTCACCCCTTGATGCCAACATAAAGAGGGGTTATTTATCGTTTTTTGCAATACCCGTAATCTGTGGAACCTGTATCAAGCGGTCACCCCGCCATTTCCCGTGGGCTTGATACAGGTTTAAATGTACCAGGAGCGCCTTGATTGGTCAAAAACCTATCGTGTATTACATCAGTAAACCCATTTGAGAAATTTTTAAGTCACTCACCTTTAGCTCGCGATCAACAGGCTTCTCTTCCTTCTCCAACATCCCACGTGAGTCATTAAGTCAATAAACTCATAAAGTGTGGTCTAGTGCTTTATTATTTCTTATCATTATTGATAATAATAATTATCGTTAATTATTAAGATTTGCGAACTAGTACGTATACCTTAATGGAAGTATACAATTAGTTGTAAAGACCTAACACCAGGTCTGTACAAAAAAAACGTCCGACACAAGAGCCTCAGTTTACTGCACATTGTCCCCAACAGCTAAAAAACGTGCATATGATAGTTTGATAACAATTGGTAAAAAAAAAAAACGAAAAACAAATAAGTAACAGGCAAAATAATATTTGAATAAGAATAAATAAAAAAGAAGGCGCCGAGACACCATATTAGAAATGCCACAGTAAGACAATACTACTAGAATTAAGATTTCTAATTTAAATTCATAATTAAGTACTATTTTTGCAATTAAAAGAGTTACAATATAGTGGAGTAATCTTGGAATTGAATGTTCACTGTGTCAAACTGACAAGAGGTCATCAGATACTTTAAATAAGATAATGTCTGCTCTAGAAAAAAATTACAAGTAATGGAGACCGTATTTCCTCGACTAAGCGCCCACGATCTGATAAGTGCCCTTCCCCGAGTAAGCGCCTACCCCTTACTTCATCAAGGGTCTTACATTCAAGGGTTCTCATACTCAGGGGTTTATATCAGTGTGTCTTACATAACAGTTCCGTGCACAGATGTTGATATTGATCGTTTTTCCTTACATTCAGGGGTTCAAATCAACGTGTCTTACATGAGAGGTCCGTGACCAGATGTTGTTAATGATCGTAAAATCTTATGATCAGGGGTCTGTGTTGATCATAAATTTTTACATCTAGTGTGTATCCTGTGATCAGATGTTGATATTAACCTTACAATGTCACATCCATATTAAACCCGTATCCTAATGTTTATACCGATGGTCGCCATAAAGATTCATGACAGAAAGAGCTTTTATTTTTGTTCTTGATCAATATCAAATACACTCAAAATAGCGGCCAGTTTTACCTAATTACACTTAGGCGGAATTTGCGGTTTTTTCCTTTTTTGCCACGTGCTTTCAATTTTGCAATGCTTTCGTTAGAATCAGTTGCAACTGAAATTTCTCAGAAGATTTTTACCAAGGATGGTATTAAAGAATTTTGATTCCTCAGTGCTTTAAAAAGCACTAAAGAATCAATCCTGACGAAAAGAAGAAGAAAAATAAAATGACCTGGCATAAATGTTGAACATATTTGGGATAATGATGGGAGTAGCTGGAGTGTAATCACAAATTTTGAAAATACCCAAACGGATTAGATGAACGTTTTTCAAGATGGATGTTTTCGACAACATTTAAACACGCTTAATACTTGTTCATAACCCACATATGACATTTCTGTTTCTTTTGTCATAGCGCAGAATTTCACGAAAACCTTCTGATTTTCCTTCTTGCCAAGTCATCTGTACTGTCAATTGATTTTTTGTTGGCAAGTTTTTCCTTAAAAACAACTTCCCTTCTTCCAAAACTGGCATCGGATATGTTCCAATTATTTTTTCATTGACACTGCAGTCGCAAACTTGTCAACGGGAAAACTTATAAACACATATTTTATCACACAAAACTTCTCAAGTTACTCTTCCTTTATTATTAGTAACTCTTTCCTCGTACTCCTAATGGCCACCAAAAAGATCTAACTCGCAGTATCATCATTTTTCCAGGAAAATAAGCGACGAAGAGAAAGGAAGACAGGAGGTAAACGATTTTGTTTGTTTTAACGCTAAAATGTCACAGCTGAACACAGGCGGCCCAAGCTGTGAGATAATCATCTTGCGAAATAAGAGTCGTTGCGAAATTATAAGAGTTTGTATAGGAATAATTACGACCGCTCCTAAGAATAAAAAATACAGTCAAATTCTCAATAAAAATACCTCACCCTACATAAGAGAGGTCTACAGGGTTTCTCTTATGTATGTGATAAACCTAGAAGTAGATAACTCGCTAAAATGGGTTCTTTCAACATATAAAGCGGTCAGATATCAAGCGATGCACTGTGGAAGTTAGGTGAGATATTTTTATTGAGAATTTGACCGTATTTTTTTATTCCTAAGAGCGGTTATTAATATTCCTATTAAAAACTCTTATAATTTCGCCGTGACTCTTTTTTCGCAAGATGATCATCTCACAGCTGGAGCTTGGGCCCCTCCTGAGCCGAATTACGGAGAAATCTTCGACCGACAAACATAGCACTGAAACATCCATTGTTGATTTTTCACTCGTATTCCTTTCTGCTCTCATAAAACTCAATCATAGCACTGAGACATCCATTGTTGCAAAAACAAAGGAACGTGCTAGTTTGTACGTCAGAAAATTGGGAGCAGCTGGAATCGCTCAAATTCTATTGGTTGTAGTCAACATCTCAGTTGTTCATAAGTCAGTCGCATCAGAGGCCAAGCTAAATATCTCACATCAGCGACGAGATCTCCTCTCAACATGTTTTTTGGTCTTCTTTATCCCCTTCTATTTGAACTCTCTGCTCTAATTCCAGATCCAGCCTTTTCACAAGGTTTGTTAGACGCGTTTACTAATGCGTATCTCTTATTTTTTTCAGTGTTAGAACATTGATGTTGGTAATATTCAGTTATTCATCGTAATTCAACTCAGAATCTGGATATAAGTCCAATGTTCCCTGAATTCTATCAGTCTTTCTTTTTTTGTCTTGTTTCACTTGGCTAGTGATGGGCATTGAATGCTATTTGGAAACTTGTTTCGACAATTTGCTTTATAACCGATAACTTGGAACGCTGCTGAATGGCACAATCTCAACGTTCTTTCATGTTTATCTGCTGTTATGAAGTCCCATAGTTGAAGTCAATCTGTTGCCCTCTAACGTTCAGCACTTCAACTTGGTTAAATGCAAATAACACTCCAACACTTCACATTGAGAAATGTTTCTCAAGACTTAGCTATAGTATTGATTAAAAAAGCCTTTATTCAACTTCAATTTAAATTCTAAATGTAGACAAAAAACAGCTACACTCCTTTAAACTTGGATAAAATTGCAGAGGTTTACTACAGGCTTTCGACCTCGTCATGGTTTTACTCAAAATAATTTGTCAAAGACTGCTAAAATTGGGTTCGCAGAAACATTCGATTCCACTGTCTATCAGACAATTGATTTATGTTCTTCCTTTTCCGAAAGAAAATTAAAAGCAATATGTTATAGTAAGATAATTAATACTGAGGAACAGAAACAAATGATAACATTACAGCACCGAAGAGCTAGAAATGCTTAGAATTTAAAGGTTTGTAACTTTATTTGCAAAATTTAATTTGAAATGTTACCTCAGTGAATAAATATATATTTAAGTCACTCAGAATGCTCGTATAGTTATGGTAAATGACACGGCAGATGTTGATAACTGAGAAGGTTAGACAATACAACTTAATGTTCGAGAGGTTTCGAACAACTATTCAATAAATTAAAATCGAAATGGCTCGTTGAAATGGCTCCGAAATCTATCTGCGTTTTTTTTAAGTGTTCAACGAAGCGATTTTCTTTTTTCACCGATCTAAATTTTTCACATGTTATCCTTCTCTCTTTATCTTGCGAAATGTCGCCTGATTTTATCCAACTTGATCGAGGGCCTCCGGGGCTGAGCATCAAACAGAGTTTTGCAACAACACTAGAAGAAAATTGTCAATTAAAATTGGCGGAAGTCAAGGGGCCAAAGATGTTATTGACAAAATGACATCTGTTTTGCTTCCCAAATTTATGAATTCTAAAATTAAGATAGGTACCATAATAACGGTGACGCAAGATTCCTCCAACCTTTCAGGTACTTGGAATGGATAGCTGCTAAATAAACACGAGGGAGCTGACATAATTTTCCACAATTAGATCAGAAAATTTATGGGGAATTAAAAATTCTTTTGTTATGAGTAATTGTTGTTGAAAATATCAGCCTCAAGCAATCTCCACACTACTTTGTAATGCCGACATGCGCACCATAGTACTTTGTAGAACACTTCATCAAGTCACGCAGTTATTACGCAATACTACTAAAATAGTTCTTTTGTAAGCTTCTGGAATGTTCCAGAACACTTTGTGAATGTATATAAAACCTCATTTATATAGTAGTGTTGGTTGTTGTTGTCGGGAGTGACCGACTGTTTAGAAAACTATACCGTGAGAGAGAGCTGAAGTGGAAGATTGCTAATTTCAAGAAACGTCGGAGGAAACTTTAAGTTCGGCTCAGGGGTGAGCTAAAATATAGACTGTACTGAGCTTAAATAAGTTTATCGAGGATAAGTACTGTACTGCCTTTAGGGGTCACGCCTTATCAAGAATATCACTCGTTGTTTAGTAAAGTAGTTGGGTTTGTAGGATTGCAATGTTTTTCTGTCGGTTGGATTATTATTAACGACTGTTTACTTAATTTCGTATGATCTAAAAGCACGTTTAGGCCTCTAATCAAACGTCACATATCTTTCAGTAAATTCTCAAAATGTTTTACAATATCTCACATGTTTGTTTTCATAACGAACTACAGTCAAACTTGTATTATAACATAGCTAGTAAATTTGTCTAATCAAATTCAATTGCGCGATTGTGCTTCATATTCCTATTGTGCACGCTCATGACGTCAGCAAACAAATCCCTCGAGAAAAAGATTTTCTACCGGGTTGAAAATGTAATAAAACAATTGGTTCATACGTCAGCGTGCGTTCATCGAGATACGAAGCACGCGGGAAGTTTGGAGAGCACGAAAGATGCGTAAACTCTGGCTTCTTGAATTGTTAATTAAGCGGTCACCGATGGGGAATGCCGGGGTAACTGTTCAAAACAGGTTCCGAAGAATAGGGGTAATTTAAAAAACGCTAAAAAAGCGCCATTTTATTCCGTAGTTGACATTTTATTGAATAAAACCTTGCTCAAAAATTCTACTAACGTTGATTTCGAAAGGAAAATGTGAATCAAATTGTACTTGAAAGATAATTCTTCGTTTTATTCGGGTAGTTCTGCTTTAAGTGACCGCTCAATACAGGTGGAAGATCATACAAAGAGGCCGTTCACACTCATTCAAAGGTGATTGCAACCGCTTAATAGAGGGATGAGAAGAAGAGAGACTGATACTGATCCGCCTGGAAACCATTCTTAAAAAGCTTTTCTTTATTATTTTTTTTTAACAGTATGTCTCAAGCGTTGCAATTTAGTGAAGCTGATTTACTACTGACCATAGCAAAATGGTTTTTCATCTCCCTAAACAGCGGAATTCGCCAAATTAAGGTTCATGAGAGTAACGTAGATATAATAAACATTAATTATTTGAATGGTATGGGAAAGGGGGGGGGCTACTCTTCTATAGGCCACTTTATCCTCTTTTGTAACCAGCCAGTCCCTTCCTCACCACTCCCTCCCGTGAGTGGTGCCATCATGTCCTTTTATTATTGGACTGCTCTTCTTTCCCTTTACAGAATCAAACCCCGTGTATCGCGAGGGAAACCGCGCCTCCTCCACAAGAACCTTCCTGAGACGTACATTTATTAAACATGAGTTTCAATACTTGAATGTACCGCTTGTTGGAACAGTGGCAGTGTCTGATGTGTTTGACTGCACGTTGGAATGTCTCAGCAATCCGTTCTGTTTTTCTGTAAACCTGGCCGCCTTCAAAGGAGCCCATGGAAAGCTTTGGTGCGAATTGTTGTCATCTGATAAGTTCAGAAACTCCACAGAGTATAAAGGGAATAAGAGTTCGCATCATTTTGCCATTGAGGTGGGAAGCATTTCTTAATTTTGACAAATAAACGCTTAAAAGTTTGACAGCTTTGTCGAGATTGTAGAGAGAAGGCAGTCAGGTTAATTAAAGCCACTGCAAATGGTGTCGGTCTGTTGTCGTATTCATTGTGGTGACACCGTATTTCTATGGCATGTTGTAAAGTATGCAAACACTTTCTCGTGCCGCGCACTATCTTACTTGCTTAACTTACCACCTTTGTTTCCAAGGCACGTCAGTGTACCAAGAAAATACATGTGACTCGCTTCAGTTTATTCAATATACCAGATTCTCTTTATTTAAAGAATGGAATCGTTGCTCAAATCGTCAGTATTTGGTCAGCCTTTAGTCAAGACACCAGATTCTGTTTATTTAAAGAATGGAATCGTTGTTTGAATCGTCAGTATTTGGTCAGCCTTTAGTCAATTTGTGTTTTAAATGTTTTATCGACAGACTTCATTTTCTGCGAACGTTCGAAACAGTTAGAAAAGCTTTCCAGACTCATAGATCCCAGCGGCTTAGCAATATATTTTTGATCTCATAAAGCCACTATTTCAAATACCAGCAAAGACAGAAAACTCAGCCAAAATCGTAACACTGTAGATAAAAATAAAGTAAATATCCTATATGCTATCATATGAGATATTTCTATACCATGAGAAGTTTATACTTAAACGAATCCGAACCGGATTGACGGAAAACCGCGGATTGGCGGATTCATGTACCCCAGCGTTTCAAAGTACATAAACCATTTTCCTACTTTGTTTCTCTACAGTCACCTTGCTCTTCGTCACCTTGTCAACACAAAGCCATCTGTGTCACAAACTACGAAGATGGCTCATTCGGATGCCGCTGTGCAAAAGGCTTTATAGGGGAATATTGTGAAAAAGGTGAATAGTTTGGAATGGTTTTGTGACTGATATATATCCAACAGCATTAAATACTATAATTCCCAAGTGACTGTTATAAATAATTTTTTACTTAACCTTGCAGCTCGAAAGTGTTCTAAAATAGCCAGCGAAAATATAGAATTAAAAAACCATTTAATGCAATGCATAAAGATGTTAAATCCGTTGATTCTCAAGTTAATTAAGCATCTTCCTGCGAAATCAAAAGGTCTGTGGTGGAGAACTGGATATTTAATTTTTATTTTTACTTACCTCTCATCAGGGACCAATTATCATTAATAGGGAGGGGGGAGGACTTTAGAGGATCACATGATTTTCAGGGGGAAAGGAGGGGGAATCAGTCGTCGCCGACAGAATTTAAAGGGGGGGACTGTAGAAATTGACTGCCAATTTTAAAACTGCCAGTGAGTGGGGATCGTGAGAATATTACAGAGCTATAACTGAGGGGGGAGGGGAAGTATCAGGTTAATTTTATCGTGACACAACCAAAATCCTCTGACCCTCCACTTCCTCGGCAGTAAATTATAACTGGTACCAAAGTAATGTTTATTATCTTTTATTGCTCAAAGATTTTACTAATAGCTTGATACAAGAATGAACAACTACTCTACTTTTGTGTCCCCTACTGAGTTATAATAGAGACTAAATTGATATCTTAAACACCTGACTTCTGTTTTTTTCTTTACACTTAGGTATTGGGTCCTGCAAAGAAGCTTACAACTTTCTGAAGTAAGTAATACCAAATTATTATCTTTTCGAGCATGAAAAAGAGACAAAATTATCGAATAGCTTCGATATTGAGAGAAGATTTTTTGCCTCATACTAATATAATCACGTGGTAATTTAGTTTTTTCAACTGAGTTGATAACGTAAATTGGCCACCGTACAGAGTTTCAAAGCTGACGTCTCGAGCATTATCCCTTTGTCAATCGCTCTGACGAAGGCCGAATGCTCGAAACGTCAGCTTTGAAACTCTGTACGGTGGCCAATTTACGTTATCAACTCAATTGGTTCGGCTTTTTAAGTTCATTAAAGGACACTCTTCTGTAAACACTAATAATTACATATCCTTCATTAACAGGCAATCAAGAAAAATTAATCAGTTTAAACTATATAAACCATTTTGCCGTACAGACATCGTTAAGTACTCTTTTTGGCACAGACATATCGACACATGGAACAGTTTACCGTCATCAGTAGTTGAACTTGACTCAATTAATGCTTTTAAGAAAGCTCTTAAATCAACATTTTTTAACTAGGCCTATAACTAAAAATTAAATTATTCTATGTATTATACATTATTTAATTATAATTTTAAACAAAATTTTTATCTTAGATATGTCTTCTTTATTTAGATTTTATATTTATATAGATACATGCCTGTATGTAAAATGTTTCAATATGTATATGTATATTGCACAGTATTAAATTTTTATATCTGGGGTATAGTTTACAATAAGGATTAAGTTCCTCCCCTCTATAACCCTTTTTTAATAATAATATGTTATATGTTATTATTTAAATAAAGTTGTTATATAAAATTGACGATAATAAACTACCCTGTTATACTTTCCCACCGACGCGGCACCACAGTTTCTTTTGAAACTTAACCCCTTTATTAATATCGTCACAAATGAGTATCTTTTCGTATCAAACAGGTCAAACGCCAGTCAACTGGTCACATTAGGCCTTGACTCTAAACCAATCATAGTTCTCTGTCAGATGGGGGATTTTGGATGCGGAGATGGAAGATGGACGCCTGTAATGAAGATTAACGGCAGCCAGGTAAGCATCATAAGGTGGAATATTCTTAGGGGTTTTCTTACGGATGATGAAGTGCGAGCAAGACATTTTCAGAAGCGTCGAAACTACCATAGAATCTCTTAGCAACTCGCCCATATTCTTCTCGCGGCCCCTACTTGCGAAAATTCCTCTGGCATAAGTGCTACAATACCCTATTACCTCAAAACGCAACGAATTGCTAATTAACCTGCATGCAAGTAGGGTGTTGATTGATGGCTTACACGCTAACTGTATTACTGATTTCATGAGGGTCCTGCCTTTGGTGATGCATCGTGTTATGTATGTTTAAGGATAAATTAAATCTTCTTAATTCTTTTTAGGAAACGTTTCACTATGACTCTCACTTCTGGAGTGATAAAAACCAATACAACACCCCCGGCGGGAGGACTGGGTTTGACTCACAAGAGACCAAGTTACCGACCTATTGGAACACACCTTTCTCCAAGATCTGTCTCGGTATGAAGATAAGTGGACAGCTCAGGTTTATTGTCATTGACAAGCAAGCCAACTCTCTGCACTCGCTGATCGCTGATGGGACATACCGCGCTACTTCACTGGGTCGTAACGAGTGGAAGAAGTTGATTGGTGCGCAGGGCTCATTGCAACAGCACTGTGACAGAGAGGGCTTCAATGCTGTGGGTACTAAAAGTCATCATTCTAAAGCAAGAATTGGTTATATAGCTAACGAGCAAAAGAATTGCCACAGTTGTGACTCAAGAATTGGGTTTGGCACCGGAGGATATCCTGATAACTTCACTACGTGTGGAAACGTAGCAGCAGCTCGCCCAGGTAATGGTTACAGATACATCAAAGCTATGGGATACATTATGGTGCAATAAACTCTTTCAATCCATGTATGACCTGAGAAAACTCACTATAAAAGGAGGAGGGGAGGAGGGGTACTGAAAAAATATTTTCTTCCATCTATCCATCCCCTCCCCCTTCTTTTCTCAGACGCCAGAGTGAGAACTTGCTAAGCAGACCGTAGATTGCTTGCGGTCCACGCAAATGACGTCAAAATGTTTGTATAAACAAAAAGGGGAAACAACAAGGCGCAGTCGAGTTTGTTACTGATGTTCTTACCACATTTTGACGTCATCTTTTATTTACAACAGAACAAAGTCACGGCAATCTGACGTTGATGAGAACGTCACCCATGGCGTCAGTATGCCAACTTCAGCTCCTACTTTCTGATGCTTTTTTTTGCTTTAATCTCAGAATTAGTTGTAGCTTTATGTAGATTTACAAACCTTCTTTATGTATTCTTACTTATAAACACGGATATATACTCTCAATTGAAATGGTTTTGTCAAAGAAAAAAAGCAGAAAGGAATAAAGGAAAAAGCCAAAGAGGAACTATTTGGAGAAATCTAAATTCTAAGTATTCATGTTGGATACTGCGCATGTGTGAAAAATAAGTCAAAAGATAGGAGAGAACAAGTACCCCAACTCATTTCAAAGCAAATTTTCCAAAACTGTTAAATTCCTAGGAGGCTTTTTCCGTTTTGCTTTCTGCGTATTTCTTTAACCGCTTTTTGGCAATAATTTTTACATTATTGAAATTTCTTCAACTTTATGAGATAACCGAGATATAGTATTTAGTATTTAGCGGTCACCCTGTATTGTGCGGTCAGTTGTGAAAGTCCCGAATTTCTTTCCCCTTAAACACTGCAATTTTTACCTCTATTAAGCAGTCACCTCTGTGGAGTGGTCGCACTCAACTATACCTAGTCGCGATGACCCGTTTGTCCTTCACCTTGTAAGTCACTCTTCGGCTCGTGATTTACAAACTTCTCTTCCTCTCCCAACATCCCACGTGAGTTGTTAAACCAGTACGCCGATAGAAAGTGTGGTCCATTGCTTAATTATTACTAATTATTATTAATACTAACAATAACTATAAATCATGATAAAATACTATTAACAATTACTATTAATTATTAAGATTTGCGAACCAGTCCCTTAATGCAAGAATACATTCAGTTGTAGACTTTTAGTATACCCAACACCAGGTCTGTACAAAAAAATACGTCAGACACGAGAGCCTCAATTTACTGCATTTTCTCCACAACAGCTAAAAAATGTGCATATGAGAGTTTGATAAAAATTGGTATAAAATAAATGAAAAACAAATAAGTAACAGGCAAAAGAATATTTGAATAAGAATTAATAAAAAGAGGGCGCCAGGACACCATATTAGAGACGCAACAGTAAGACGATACAACTAGAATTAAGATTTCTAAATCAAATTCATAATTAAGTAAAATTTTTGCAATTAGATAACAACAGGTAAAAAGTAAATGAAAAACAAATGAGAAATAAGCAAAAGAATATTTGAATAAAAATTGATTAAAAAAAGGTTTTCATTTTTGTCTTTTCCGTATTAGTTCAATTCTCTGCTCAGATGTCATGACATTGTTTTTCTAGAAAATTTTTATTCTCACTTTTCTAGGTTACTACCATCAAAAGGGCGATGAGCAAGGAAGCCTCCTTTACATCTGAATATTGCTTTTCCCGTCATCATTCGTTTACACGTAGGAAGAGAACCTTTTTTTTTTCAATTATCTGGACACACGTCCAATGAACAATGCCATCAACGTTTACACATTTCCTCGTTACAAGGAAATTTGTGCTTTGAAATTTAGCTCAAAACCAAACTTTTTTGAAAATATAAGTCAGATGTTCTCAGAATTCGATCAGTCTTTGTTTTTTGTTATAGTTTCACTTGGCTAGTGATGGGCGTTGAATGCTCGGGACGCTGTTGAATGGCACAAAGTTCAGTTAACTTCCTTTCATATATATCTGCTGTTATAAAGTTGCATAGTTCAAGTCAATCTGTTGCCCTCCAACGTTCAGCTTTTCAACTTGGTCAAATGCAATTAACATTCCATCACTCTATATCGAAAAGTTCTTCATTTTTCCGAAGGAAAGTTTGAAAGCAGTTTGTTATAGTTAAATAATTAATACTGAGGAACACAAATGAATGATAACATCACAGCACCGAAGAGCTAGAAATGTTTACAATTTAAAGGTTTGTGACTTTAATTGCAAAATTTTATTCTAAAATGTTACCTCAGTGAATAAATATATTAAAGTCACTCAAAATGCGTGTATATTTATGGTAAATGACACGGCAGATGTTGATAACTGAAAAGGTAAGACAATACAACTTTATGTTTGAGAGGTTCCTGAACGACTATTGAATAAATTAAGATCGAAATGGCTTGTTGAAATGGCTGCGAAAAATCTGTCTGTGATATGATCGTTTGAAGTGTTCAACGAAGCGAATTTCTCTTTTTTTAACAAACTTAATTTTTCACATGTTATCCTTCTTTATCTTGCAAATTATCGCCTGAATTTACCCAAGTTGATCTAGGGCCTCCTTGGCTGAGCACCAAACAGAGTTTGACGACAACAGAGGAGGAAAATTGTTAATCAAATTTGGCGGAGGTCAAGGGACCCAAGATGTTAAGACAGCTTCAAGCTGTTGACAAAATAATATCTGTTTTGCTTCCAATTGCCAAAATTTATGATTTCTAAAATCAAGAAAGGTACCATAGTAACAGTGTCGCAAGATTTCTCCAACCTTTCAGGTACTTGCAATGGATAGCTGCTGAATAAAAACGAGGGAGCTGACAAAATTCACCTCCAATTAGAACAAAAAATTTATGGGGAAGTTAAAATTATTTATTAAAGGCTGTTTACCTTGGTCTTGTATGATCTAAAGGCACGTTTCGGCCTCAAATCAAACGTCACATATTGTAAATGCTCAGAATGTTTTTAAATATCTTCATATTCTACTAGAGGGCTAAATATCGTGTAAAACACTTGAAATATCTCATAGGTTTAATCAGCTGATAACCATGACAACAATTCTGGCATAGAACTGAGCATCGTCCCGAAAATAAAGCGAGAGAAAAAATGCACGGATCAACTTGAATTAGCTCTCGATACTTCAAAATATCTCTCGATTTTATAAATATCCTATGCTTCCCACCATTCTCAGTTACCTCTTCTATGCACTCGACAACATCCTAATACGGTAAGAGTACAAATTTTGTCTTAGTCGTAGAGAGGCAGGGGTCACCCCGAAATTATTGAAAAGAGCTGCGAGGGAAGGAGAGGAGATGAATGAGAAGGACGAAGACTGATACTGATCGGCCTTGAAACCATTCCTGAAAAGGTTTTTTTTTAGGGTATGCCTCAAACGTTGCAATTTAATGAAGCTGATTCACTACTGACTATAGTAAAATGGTTTTTTATCTCCCTACACAGTGGATTTCACTAAATGAACGTTCATAAGATCTAAAGTCTCATAGTTATGATATAAATCAATTATTTTGAGTGGTACAGGGTGGGGGAGAAGTGTTCTATAGGCTACTTTATCTTCTCTTGTAACCAGCAAGTCCCTTCCTCCCCACTCCCTCTTGTGAGTGGTGCCATCATGTCCATGTCCTTTTATTATTGGACTGTTCTTCTTTCCTGTTACAGAATCAAACCCCGTGTATCGCGAGGGCAACCTCGCCTCCTCCACAAGAACCTTCCTGAGACGTACATTTATTAAACACAAGTTTCATCACTTGAATGTGCTGCTTGTTGGAACAGTGGCAGTGTCTGATGTGTTTGGCTGCACGTTGGAATGTCTCAGCAATCCGTTCTGTTTTTCTGTAAACCTGGCCGCCTTCAAAGGAGCCCATGGAAAGCTTTGGTGCGAATTGTTGTCATCTGATAAGTTCAGAAACTCCACAGAGTATAAAGGGAATAAAAGTTCTCATCATTTTGCTATTGAGGTAGGAAACATTTCTTAATTTTGACAAATCAACGTGTCAAGATCTTAGAGAGAAGGCAGTCAGGTTAAAGCCACTGCAAACGGTGTCGGTCTGTTGTCGTATTCATTGTGGTGACAACCGTATTTCTATGGCATGTTGTAAAGCATGCAAACACTTTCTCGTGCCGCGCACTATCTTACTTACTTACCACCTTCTGTTTCCCAGGCACGTCGGCAGACTAAGAAAATACATGTGACTCGGTTGAAAAGTTTAGTCAAGATACCAGATTCTGTTTATTTAAAAAATGGAATCGTTGTTTAAATCGTCAGTATTTGGTCAGCCTTAAGTCAATTTGCGTTTTAAAATGTTCTATCGACAGACCTCTTCATTTTCTGTGAAGGTTTGAAGCAGTTAGAAAACCTTCCCAGACTCACAGATCCCGACGGCTTAGCAATATACTTTTAATCTCATAAAGCCAATTTTTCAAATATCGGCCAAAGTCTTAATACTGTAAATGAAAATAAAAAAACCTAGATGTTATCATATGAGGTCTATACCATGAAATATTTATACTTAAACAAATCCGGACCGGATTGGCGGATTCATGTACCCCCCTATTCACCACATATATATAGATTTACAACTGCGTTTCAAAATACTTGAACTATTTTCCTACTTTGTTTCTCTACAGTCACCTTGCTCTTCGTCATCTTGTCAACACGAGGCTACCTGTGTCACAAACTATAGAGATGGTTCATTCGGATGCCGCTGTGCAAAAGGCTTCAAAGGAGAATATTGTGCAAAAAGTGAATAGTTTGGCATTGTTTTGTGAATAATATACATCCAACATCATTAAATACTATAATTCGCAACTGACTGCTATAAGTTTTTGTGCTTTAACTTGCAGCTCGAAGACTTTTTAAAATAGTTAGCGAAAATATGTAACATAAAGTAATGGATAAAGATGTTGAATCTTTTGGTGCTTTAGTTGATCAAACATCTGACAGCGAAGTCGAAAGGTCTGAGGTGGAGAACTGAATATACTTGCTTCTCCTCAGGGACCAATTATTAGTTACCCGGGGCAGTGGGGGGTAAAGGATTTTGGAGGATGACGTGATTTCCAGGGGAAAAGGAGGGGGGGACTGTAGAAATTGACTGCTAATTTTAAAACTGCCAATGAGTGGAGATCGTAAGAATATAACAGAGCCTTGACTGAGAGGGGAGGGAGGGAGCGATCTGGTTAATTTTATCGAGACACAACCAAAATCCTCTGACCCCCCCTCCCTCGGCAGTAAAATTATAGCTGGTATCAAAGTCATGTTTATCATCTCTTATTGCTTAAAGGTTTTGCTGATAGCTTGATACAGGAATGTACGATGAGTCTAGTTTTCAATGTGTCCCCTACTGGATTATGATAGAGCCTAAATACCTTAACACCTCACTTTTTTTATTCGTTACATTTAGGTATTTGGTCCTGTAAAGATGCTAACAACCTTTTCAAGTAAGTGATACCAAATGATTATCTTTTCGAGCATAAAAAATGTCAAAATTATCGAATAGTTTTGATGTCGAGAGAACATTTTTTGCCGCAAACTAAAATGATCACGCATGGATTTCTTTTCGTGTCAAACAGGTCAAACGCCAGTCAACTGGTTACATTAGGCCTTGACTCTAAACCAATCACAGTTCTCTGTCAGATGTGGGATTTTGGATGTGGAGATGGAGGATGGACGCCTGTAATAAAGACTGACGGCAACAAGGTAAGCCTCATATGGCGGAATATTCTTGGGGGGGTTTTCTTGCGAGTGATGAAGCGCAAGCAAGATATTTTCAGCAGCGTCGAAACTACGAGAGAATCTTTTAGCAACTTAATCTTAACTTAAATCTCTTAGCAACCATATTCTTCTCGCGGCCCCTACTTGCGGAAATTCTTCTGACATAAGTGCTACAATACCCTAATATCTAAAAACGCGACAAATTCCTAATTAACCCGCCTACAAGTAACGTATAGATTGATGGCTTGTACACTAACTGTATTACTGATTTCACGAGGGTCCTTCCTTTGGTGATGCACCGTGTTATTTAAATTTAAGGATGAATTAAATCATCTTAATTATTTTCAGGCAACGTTTGACTATGACTCTCACTACTGGAGTGATAAAAATGAATACAACATCCCCGGCGGAAGGACTGGGTTTGACTCACAAAAAACCAAGTTACCGACCTATTGGAACACACCTTTCTCCAAGATCTGTCTCGGTATGAAGATAAGTGGACAGCTCAGATTTATTGTCATTAACAAGCAAGCCAACTCTCTGCACTCACTGATTGCTGATGGGACATACCGCGCTACTTCCCTGGGTCGTAACGAGTGGAAGAAGTTGATTGGTGCGCAGGGCTCTTTGCAGCTGAACTGTAATAAGGAGGGCTTTAATGCTGTAGGTATTGCAAGAATTGGCTATGTAGCTAACCAGCAAAACGATTGTCTCAATTGTAACTCCAGAATTGGGTTTGGTACTAGAGGAGGTTCCAATACGTGCGGAAACGTAGCAACTCTTTCCCCAGATAATGGTGACAGAAACATCAAAGCTATGGGATATATTTTAGTGCAGTAAAGTCTTTCAATCCATGTATTACGTTAGAAAACTCACTTACAATGAGGAAGGGGAGGTGGGGTACTGAAAAGAGCCCTTTTTCATTTATCATTCGCCTCACCCTGCTCCCCTCAAACGCCAGAGTGAGAACTTGCTAAGCAGATTATAGATTGCTACTTACGGCTCGTGATTTACAAACTTCTCTTCCTCCTCCAAAATCTTACGTGAGTTATTAAGCCGGTAAACTGATAGACAGTGTGTTCTATTGCTTAATTATTACTAATCGTAGTTACTACTAATGATTATTATCAATTATTATTAGTTATTAAGATTTGCGAACTAACCCTTAATTCAAGTATAAAATTAGTTGTAAAGATTTTAACACAAGGTCTGTACAAAAAATGCGTCCCACGCAAGAACCTTATTATACTGCAATTTCTCCACAACAGCTATAGAAAGTGCATATGATTATTTGATAACAATAGCTTTAAAATAGATGAAAAACAAATAAATAATAGGCAAAATAATATTTTAATAAGAATGAATAAAAAAGAGGGCGCCTATACATCATATTAGAAACGCCACAATAAGACAATACAACTAGAATTAAGATTTCTCATTCAAACACATAATTATATAAGATTTTTGCAATTAGAAGAGTTACAATATAGTGGAGCAATCTTGGAATTGAATGTTCACTGTAAGCAAGTGACTTGAGTAACTTTTTTTCAACTCGGGTTAATGAGGCTGATTAGGCCGCTAGCAGTACATAGGTAGAAAAAGTGTGTACGATAATTTGATAACAATAGCTATAAAATAAATGAAAAACAAATAAGTAATGGGCAAAATAATATTTGAATAAAAATTGATAAAAGAGAAGGTGCCGAGACACCATATTAGAAACGCCACAGCAAGACAATACAACTAAAATCAAGAATTCTAATTCAAATTCATAATTATGGAAAATTTTTGCAATTAAAAGGGTTACAGCATAGTGGAGTAATCTTAGAATTGAAGGTTCACTGTGAAAAATACAAGAGTTCATCAGATACTTTAAATAAGATGATGTCTGCTCGGAAGAAGGGTATAAATAATGAATACCGTATTTCTTCAACTAAGCGCCCACGCCCTAATAAGTACCCTTCCCCGAATAAGTGCCTACCCCCTATTTCATAATGCCGAAAAATCGTCCCCCGACTCCCCCCCCCCGCCTTTGAATAAGCGCCCACCTCTTCCCTGATTTTCTTAAGTAGTAGGGATACCAGGAAAACTTGCTTCTATTGAAAAGTTTGAGTAAACAATGACCGCATTGGTTTGCATATCAGAAAGCTCGAAGCAGGTGCAATCATTTTGAAAATTATATTGGTTGAAATCAGCGCCTTGGAAATGTTCACAGGAAAATTAGATCTTGACTGCAGCTCATCACTAATCGCATTTGAAACAAAGCTGCAATTCTTTTCTTTGCCGGACGAGAAGATTTTATTCCTTTCAACATCTTTTTTTATTGTTGTGTTTTCCGTTTTAGTTCAATTCTCTGCTCTGATCTCAGACATCGCGTTTTCTCAAGGTTTGTTATGTGTTTATCATTGTAAAGGAGGCTCATGGGATTTTTGCTCAAAGTTGGCGCGCGCTAGCGTATTTGTTTTTCTAGAAAATTTTTTATGATCTCGCTTTTCTAGGTTACTAGAAAAAAAAGGGCGATGAGCAAGGTTCACAGTCTGGAAAAGTCGAAGTTGTTACACACGGGAACTTAAAAGTCAAAAAGCACGCGACAGGTCACTTTAAAATCTCCTTTCCTCTCACAGATTCCTTATTGTAAACTGTGCGATAATGCTAATAATTAATCAAATCGTAGACTAATGAGTGTTTTGTTCCATGCAAAAGCCATATTTGCTGATTTCAGCAACTCTCCAAAGTGATAAACGACAGAAGAAAGAAACGCTGCGATTTTCCCATCAACATTTCGCCCACATACATCTCTCTAAACGTGAAATTTTCCATTCCTAGCAAAACTCTCGAAAGTCTTTCACATTTTTTTGGCTTCCTTGATCAATCATCTTGTATAAAGAGATATAGAATATATGTTTACTTGCTCAAGTGACCGCCTAGGATCGGAATTGCGTGACAGGTGTAGCTAGGTGAAGCTTGTCACAGTCGCAGATTTTAAAACGCATCCAAGACAAAAATACGACAATACCCAAAGATCTTTTTGATGGTTTTCAGAGATGAAAGGGGAATTCGAACTAAAATTAGTGTTGTAGCTGTCTGGCAAGGGGAGATAATTGACCTCAAAGTTATCAAATATTTGTATGAATCAAATAGTCTAAAAACACAGTCATTTCTTTCCCTTTGTTGATTAACAAGCTGTAAACCAAATTGACTGATACTCAAGTCGTACTTTCATTAAGGACGTAAAATATGTATGCAAAACTTCAGAGTAATCAGGCAAATATCATCGCATTGAGAGCTTAATACTTTTCACCTATTTTGCGACAATTTCCATAGTGAAAACTAAGAAAAACCTTGGGGGTCGGTCTATTTCCTCTCGGAAATAACCAAAACAGAAACCAGTTTGCCTGTTTGAGTTTTGGGGTAGAGCCTTAAAAATTTTGGCAACTGAAAAAAAAAGAGGACCTTTTGATCTTGAGCTGAAAGAAATTTAACTCGCACGATGATAAACTAATAGACTGCTCCCGCGAGTCTTACAAAAAACGCTAAAAAATAATTTTCAATGGAAATTCTAGATGTTGATCTCTTCATTTACAAGCCGCGGATGAATGTAAAACCGATTCTGTTGGTTTCGAAAGAAGCTTTCTAGGTAATTTTGGGACTATTTCAGGCCGGATGGCAAATGATAAGTAGTTTTGTATGTCGAAAAGCTTGTATTAGGACCATATTGTTTATCTTGAAAATTGTTTTGTGTCTACTCTACTTAAAAGACATCACTTGTGCTCATGAATCAAGAAACAAACCCGCGTTCATTAGATATCCTAATTTTTGGTTGTGGAAATGCAACAAATGGTTCAAAAAGTTTAAAGTGTTAGCCATATTGTATAACCAAGGACACGGTACGTTTATTTCGAAGTTCTCGAAAATTAAATTAAGTAAATTATTGAGTTCACACGTAAATAAGAACCATTATCACAATCTATCAAAAATTTATGCTAAAAGACTCTCTTTGAAAGGTTTTTTTGGTATTAATCTTTCATGATATGTGGCATTTCTGTTTCTTTTGTCATAGCGCCAAGTTATCTGTACTGTCAATTGATTTTTCGTTATTATTAGTAACTCTTTCCTCGTACTCCTAATGGCCACCATAAAGGTTTAACTCGCAGTATTGTCAATTTTCTAGGAAAATATGCGATTAAGAGAAAGGAATATAGGAAATAAACGATTTTTTTTTGTTTTAAAGCTAAAATGTCACGGCTGAATTACGGAGAAATGTTTGACAAACGGTGCGCAGAGTTGATTTTCAGATCCCAGTGGTGAACGATTTAGAACGGTGTACGTTTAATACAACGTTTTCCACGATTGCAATACTAGTAACATGAACATTTTTTCAGGCCTTGTGATTTCGCTCATTCTACAGCACCCATGGTTTCAAAGCTTTCAACTTTAACTTAGCATTTCACGTGAGGCCTTGGGAATTTATTCCAATTATAAAACAAAGACATGTTTATCTGGACGACTCAGGTTGCCCTAAGTAACAAACTCAAACCACCAGGTGTTAGTGCAAGCTTTTATAGATGTAAGTGAATGCTCATTGCGCAATCAGCTCATCAGAAACTATTTAGAAAATGACGCCTCTTTGGAGTTACGGGAAAGGTAAAGCGGAAATTGGTTCATATCATTTTATAACTGAAACAATTTCAAACCTGATTTTCGACTAATATTCCCTTCTGCTCTCATAAAACTCAATCGTAGCACTCAGACATCCATTGTTGTAAAACCAAAGGAAAGTGCTGGTTTGTACGTCAGAAAATTGGGAGCAGCTGGATACGCTCAAATTCTATTGGTTGTAGTCAACATTTCAGTCGCTTACAAGTCAGTTTCATCAGAGGCGAGGCTAAATATCTCACATCAGCGACGAGATCTCCTCTCAACATGCTTTTTGGTCTTCTTTATCCCCTTCTATTTGAACTCTCTGCTCTAATTCCAGATCCAGCATTTTCACAAGGTTTGTAAGATACGTTTGAATCGTATCTCTTATTGTTTTCAGCGTTAGAACTTTGATGTTGGTATAATTCATTTATTCATAGTAATTCAACTCAGAATCTGGATGTACGTCCGATTTTCCCTGAATTCTATCAGCCTTTGTTTTTTTGTTATATTTTCACTTGGCTAGTGATGAACGATGAATGCTCTTTGGAAACTTGTTTCAACAATTTGCTTTATAATTGATTACTGTTACTGGAACGCTGCTGAATGGCACAATCTCAACGTTCTTTCATGTTTATCTGCTGTTATGAAGTCCCATAGTTGAAGTCAATCTGTTGCCCTCCAACGTTCAGCATTTCAACTTTTTTAAATGCAAATAACACTCCATCACTTCACATTGAGAAATGATTTTCAAGACTTAGCTAAAGTATTGAATAAAAAAGCCTTTACTCAACTTCAATTTAAATTCTAAATGCAGACAAAAAAAACAGCTACACTCCTTTAAACTTGGATAAAACTGCGGAGGTCTACAGGCTTTCGACCTCGTCATGGTTTTACTCAAAAGACTGCTAAAATTGGGTTCGCAGAAACACTCGATTCCACTGTCTATCAGACAATTGATTGAAGTTCTTCCTTTTTCCGAAAGAAAATTTAAAAGCAATATGTTATAGTAAGATAATCAATACGGAGGAACAGAAACGAATGATAACATTACAGCACCGAAGAGCTAGAAATGCTTAGAATTTAAAGTTTTGTGACTTCATTTGCAAAATTTTATTTTGAAATGTTACCTCAGTAAATAAATATATTAAAGTCATGTAGAATGCTCGTATATTTATGGTTAATGACACGGCAGATGTTGATAACTGAGAAGGTTAGACAATACAACTTAATGTTCGAGAGGTTTCGAACAACTATTTAATAAATTAAAATCGAAATGGCTCGTTGAAATGGCTGCGAAAAATCTATCTGCGATATTTTCAGTGTTCGACGAAGCGATTTTCTTTTTTCACCAAACTAAATTTTTCACATGTTATCCTTCTCTCTTTATCTTGCAAAATATCGCCTGATTTTACCCAACTTGATCGAGGGCCTCCGGGGCTAGGCACCCAACAGAGTTTTGCGACAACACTGGAGGAAAATTTTCAATTGAAATAGGCGGAAGTCGAGGGACCTAAGATGTTATCGACAAAATGACATCTGTTTTGCTTCCCAAATTTATGAATTCTAAAATTAAGATAGGTACCATAGTAACGGTGACGCAAGATTCCTCCAACCTTTCAGGTATTTGGAATGGATAGCTACTAAATAAACACGAGCTGACATAATTTGTCTCCAATTAGATCAGAAAATTCATGGGGAATTTAAAATAATTTTGTCATGAGTAATTGCTGTTGAAAATATAAGCCTTTAGAAGTCTCCACACTGCTTAGTCATGCTGACATGCGTACCATAGTACTTTCTAGAACATTTCATCAAGTCACGCAGATATAGATTACGTAATACTACTAAAATATCTCAATCCTTTTTACCATTCTCAGTTATCTCTTCGCTGTAATTTACAACATCCTAATACGGCACAAGAAGGAGAGAGGCTGACACTGATTGGCCTTGAAATTATTCTTAAAAAGTTTTTTTTTAATGGCATGCCTCTAATGTTGCAATTTAATGAAGCTAATTTACTACTGACCATAGCAAAATGGTTTTTTACCTCCCTAAATAGCGGATTTAGCCAAATGAATGTTAATAAGAGTAACGTAGATATAATAAACATCAATTACTTTGAATGGTATAGCGGGGGGAGGGGAGTACTGTTCTATAGGCCACTTAATCCTCCCTTCTGACCAGCTAGTCCCTTCAAAACCACTCCCTCCTTGAGTAGTGCCATCATATCCTTTATTAATGAACTGTTCCTCTTTCCTATTACAGTATCAAACCCCGTGTATCGCGAAGGCAACCACGCCTCCTCTACAAGAACCTTCCTGAGACGTACATTCATTAAACACGAGTTTCATCACTTGAATGTGCCGCTTGTTGGAACAGTGGCAGTGTCTGATGTGTTTGACTGCACGTTAGAATGTCTCAGCAATCCGTTCTGTTTTTCTGTAAACCTGGCCGCCTTCAAAGAAGCCCATGGAGAACTTTGGTGCGAATTGTTGTCATCTGATAAGTTCAGAAACTCCACAGAGTATAAGGGGAATAAAAGTTCTCATCATTTTGCCATTGAGGTAGGAAGCATTTCTTAATTTTGACAAATAAACGTGTCAAAAGTTTGACAGCTTTGTCAAGATCGTAGAGAGAAGGCAGTCTGGCTAATTAAAGCCACTGCAAATGGTGTTGATCTGTTGTCCTATTCATTGTGGTGACAACCGCATTTCTAGGGCATGTTGAAAAGTATTCAAACATACAGTTTCTCGTGCTAAAATGAATCCGGACCGGATTGACGGAATAGCGCGGATTGGCGGATTCAAGTACCCCCTAGTCACCACATATTTACAGACTTACAGCTGCGTTTCAAAATACATGAACTATTTTCCTACTTTGTTTCTCTACAGTCACCTTGCTCTTCGTCACCTTGTCAACACGAGGCTACCTGTGTCACTAACTATAGAGATGGCTTATTCGGATGTCGCTGTGCAAAAGGCTTCAAAGGAGAATATTGTGAAAAAAGTGAATAGTTATAGTTTGGCATAGTTTTGTGACTGATATACATCCAACAGCATTAAATGCTATAATTCTCAAGTGACTGCTATAAATTTTTGTGCTTTAACTTGCAGCTCGAAGACTTTTTAAAATAGTTAGCGAAAATATGTAACTTAACGTAATGGATAAAGATGTTGAATCTTTTGGTGCTTTAGTTGATCAAACATCTGACAGCGAAGTCGAAAGGTCTGAGGTGGAGAACTGAATATACTTACTTCTCCTCAGGGACCAATCATTAGTTACCCGGGGCAGTGGGGGGTAAAGGATTTTGGAGGATGACATGATTTCCAGGGGAAAAGGAGGGGGGGACTATAGAAATTGACTGCTAATTTTAAAACTGCCAATGAGTGGAGATCGTAAGAATATTACAGAGCCTTGACTGAGAGGGGAGGGAGGGAGCGATCTGGTTAATTTTATCGTGACACAACCAAAATCCTCTGACCCCCCTCCCTCGGCAGTAAATAATAGCTGGTATCAAAGTAATGTTTGTCATCTCTTATTGCTAAAAGGTTTTGCTAATAGCTTGATACAGGAATGTACGATGAGTCTAGTTTTCAGTGTGTCCCCTACTGGATTGTGATAGAGCCTAAATACCCTAAACACTTCACTTTTTTTTTCGCTACATTTAGGTATTTGGTCCTGCGAAGATGCTAACAACCTTTTCAAGTAAGGGATACCAAATGATTACCTTTTCGAGCATAAAAAATGTCAAAATTATCGAATAGTTTCGATGTCGAGAGAACATTTTCGCCGCAAACTAAAATGATCACGCATGGATTTCTTTTCGTGTCAAACAGGTCAAACGCCAGTCAATTGGTTACATTAGGCCTTGACTCTAGACCAATCACAGTTCTCTGTCAGATGAGAGATTCTAGATGCGGAGATGGAGGATGGACGCCTGTAATGAAGACTGACGGCAACAAGGTAAGCCTCATATAGCGGAATATTCTTGGCGGGGTTTTCTTGCGAGTGACGAAGCGAAAGCAAGACATTTTCAGAAGCGTCAATACTACGAGAGAATCTCTCAGTAACTCGCCAATATTCTTCTCACGGCCCCTGCCTGCGGAAATTCTTCTGCATAAGTGCTACAATACCCTAATATCTAAAAACGCGACAAATTTCTAATTAACCCGCCTACAAGTAGGGTATAGATTGATGGCTTGTACACTAACTGTATTACTAATTTCACGAGGGTCCTTCCTTCGGTGATGCATCGTGTTATTTAAATTTAAGGATGAATTAAATCCTCTTAATTCTTTTTAGGCAACGTTTCACTATGACTCTCACTACTGGAGTGATAAAAACCAATACAACATCCCCGGCGGGAGGACTGGGTTTGACTCACAAGAGACCAAGTTACCGACCTATTGGAACACACCTTTCTCAAAGATCTGTCTCGGTATGAAGATAAGTGGAGAGCTCAGGTTTATTGTCATTAACAAGCAGGCCAACTCTCTGTACTCACTGATTGCTGATGGGACATACCGCGCTTCTTCACTGGGTCGTAACGAGTGGAAGAAGTTGATTGATGCGAATGGCTCATTGCAACAGCACTGTGACAGAGAGGGCTTCAATGCTGTAGGTACTAAAAGTCATCATTCTAAAGCAAGAATTGGTTATATAGCTAACGATGCAAACGATTGTGGCTCTTGTGACTCCAGAATTGGGTTTGGTACCGGAGGATATCCTCATAACTCCAATACGTGTGGAAACGCAGCAGCTTATTCCCCAGATAACGGTAACAGAAATATCAAAGCTATGGGATATATTTTGGTGCAGTAAACTCTTTCAATCCATGTATTACGTTAGAAAACTCACGAAGAATGGGGGAGGGGAGGTGGGGTACTGAAGAGCTCTTTTCCATCTATCCATCCCTCTCCTTTCTCCCCTCAAACGCCAAAGTGAGAACTTCCTAAGTAGACTATAGATTGCTTGCTGTTTAGTTCGGCTTCTAAATTGATTTTTTTCCAGTGCGAAGACGGGAAGAGACTTGAATAAGGACTTTACCCGCATGGGTTACATTTGTACAACTTTTTGAGCCCTAAGTTTTAAGGGAAATTCAGTCGACTGGTTACTAAAACTACTGTGATGTTTAAATCTTAAAAAAGAAGTAAAGCCAGGATAGCAACACGAGAACATTTTCAGGCATTCGTTAAACATTACCACTAATAGGCCTTCGCTGACCGAATCATATTGAGCTTTATCTGTTTTGCTTTCTGTATATTTCTTTGACAACCTTTGGCTCGTGATTTACAAACCTCTCTTCCTCCTCCAACATTCCACGTGAGTTATTAAGCTAGTAAACTGATAGAAAGTGTGGACTATTGTTTAATTATTGCTAATCATTATTACTAAAAATAACTATTATTCATTATTATTAATCATTAAGATTTGTAAAGTAGCCCTTAATGCAAGTACGTAATCAGTTGTAAAGACGTTTTAGCATACCTAACACCAGGGCCCAGTTGTATAGTTGTATAAAGGGGGGATAACGCTATCCAACAGATAAATCGCCATCCAGCGGATAAGTGATAGCAAACCGTATAGCGTTATCCACCAGATAGAGATTTATCCAGTGGATAGCGTTATCCGATCTTCGAACAACCGGGGCCTGAACTGTGCAAAGAAATACGTCCGACACAAGAACCTTATCATGCTGCAATTTCTCCACAACCGCTAGAAAAAGTGCATATGATAATTTGATAACAATAGGTATAAAATAAATGAAAAACAAGTAAGTCATTATTCACCCCTTGGATGGTTTATTTGGATCCAACATAATGACCAGCTCCCAACTGGCTCAGTTGGCAGAGCGCTGCAATGGTGTCGTAGAGGTCATGGGTTCAAATCCCGTATAGGCCTGAATTTTTTTCAGGTCTTACTTCAACTACTAGTGCAGTAGTGTTCATAGCTGCGAGGATCGTTTATATTCGTTTCTTCACCGCTTTGAACAAATATGATTTTTCATATATTTGCAGTTATTAGGCAAAAGAATATTTGAATAAAAATAAATTGAAAAGAGGGGCGCCGAGACACCATATTAGAAACGCCACAGTAAGACAATACGACTAGAATCATGATTTCTAATTCAAATTCATAACTATGAAAAAAAATTTTGCAATTAGAAGAATTACAATATAGTGGAGTAATCTTAGAATTGAATTTTCATTGTGCCAAATACAAGAGTTCATCAAATACTTTAAATAAGATGATGTCTGCTCACAATAAAGGTTACAAATAATGAACACCGTATTTCCTCGACTAAGCGCCCACGCTCTTATAAGTGCTCTTCCCCGAATAAGTGCCTACTCCCTATTCATAATGTCAAAAAAGCGCCCCCCCCAACCCCCCACCCTTTGAATAAGCGCCCACCTCTTCCCTCACTTTCTTAAGTGGTAAGAATACAAGGAAAACTTGTTTCTATTGACAAGTTTAAGTAAACAATGACCGCATTGATTTGTACGTCAGAAAGCTCGAAGCAGGTGCAAACATTTTTAAATTTATATTGGTTGAAATCAGAGCCTTAGAAATATTCACAGGAAAATTAGATCTTGACTGCAGCTCGTCACTAATCGCATTTGAAACAAAGCTGGGATTCTTTCCCTTGCTGACGAGAAGATTCGATTTCTATAAACATGTTTTTTGTTTTTTTCTATTCCGTTTTATTTCAATTCTTTGCTCTGATGTCAGACACAGCGGTTTCTTAAGGTTTGTTATTTGCATTTGTTACTTGTTTGATGTTAACATCTGAAAATTGCTTTTCTCTGTTATCATTCGTTTACACTTGGGAAGTGTCATATTTTGGTACATGATTTCCGGGGTAAATTGACCCTCCCCCTCCCAAGGTTTCTCTTGGTTTTCACCAAAATAGGTATAATACATAAAATCTCTCAATGCGATGAATTGGCCTCCCGGATCAGAAACCGTAGTTAGGGTAATATCTTCATCCTCTCGGTCAGAAAAGTCATTTTCTGAGTCCGTGTCATATTCGTTTGCATATGTTCGCACCTCAGCAACTGCCACTTCAACGACGTAGTCGTCAGCAATGTGACACATGTCACATTCCCAACTTCCGAAATAGCTTGAACGTCTCCTTTGGCGCTGCTGAGCCCTACTGGCTGATCTCCAGAGTTAAAATCGTTCCCTAGTCCCGTCAACAAGTCCACTTTGGTGGAATCTTGCTTCTTCGTGTAGACGGCCGGTGGTAAAGCCCCTGCCTTGTCTTTGGCAGTTTCCTCCCAAACTGTCCTTTGCCTCAACGGAGGATACCTCGCCGCAAATTCTTTCACAGCACTTTCAGTCTCGGGGTTGATCTTTTCTGAAGGTAGGGGTGGCACAAAGTTCACATTTGCAAACTCCGTGCTGGTGTGAGGGACAGGATAGTAGGATTTTTCATGAGTAAAATACCTGGCTGCCCATTTTCTTACTCTCTTCAACGACTCCTCGCTAATTATTCCAAAGTCTTGGAAATACTGCAATGCGGTAAAGGTCTCATGCTTGAAATGGGAAACTGCGTTTAGATTTTCTACAACTGTTGTGAGAAATGTGCAAATCAATGTCTTCGAGAAAACCGTTATCAATTGAAGCTATGCCGCGCAGGCGGCGCATTCTTCCCTCATGTAAGATTTGAGTTTTATTAGACACAGTTCCTTCAGGGCCGTTGATTGCTTTGGTTTCCCTTACACTGTACCGTTGTTTCACCTCAGAAACGCTCTTTGTGATGTTGTCACATACGATACTATGCCTACGGCATCTTGAAGAGACGTGTGTGCTTTTCCTATGATGTGGGCTTTGATACCAAAACTGTTCTAGATACTTCCAAGGACTTTTATGAACGACACAATACCACTGAGTCTCGATGCTAGTTTTATGCAACCTGTAGCAACATCCGATACGAATAGAGTCTTCTCCATAGAACAGATGCCATGAACTTGCGTAAAAGAACATGTTTCATCCGTTCCATCACTTGCTCCTTCCTGACCAGTGCACATCAAGGTTTTAAGGTTTTTCTCAGAAACTTTACCTTTATCTTTCGATCTCCTGAGTCAGTGAACGTTATCCCGTCTTCAAATTCACAAAGTCTTCTGATTTCTTTACAAGACTCCGAGTTATTCTGTAGAAGTAGGTCAACTTCTAAGCTTAAAGGGTTGTAAACGTAAAGGCCACCGTCTAGACCGACTGCATGCTGTAAATAAAGCGTTTTGTGTGAGAACTTCCATAAATATGACATTCGAAATGCCAGTCGGGTAGGTAACGAGTTTGAACCGGCAAAGCCAACTCCACTGTAATGTAACATTACTTGAATAATTCCTTTCTGAGGATCGTCTGCACACAACAGAATGTTTTCACTTGCAGCACAGATAGAAGTTGGCTTTTCTAATGGAGGGCGAGCCTGGACAAGCTTCAAGTTTCCGAATTCAGCGGCTAAAGGTTTGTTATGTGTTTATTGTAAAGGAGGCTCATAGGATTATTGCTGAAAGTTGGCGCGCTAGCGTATTTGTTTTTCTAGAAAATGTTTATGTTCTCGCTTTTCTAGGTTACTAGAAAAAGAAGGGCGATGAGCAATGTTCACAGTCTGGAAAAGTCGAAGTTGTTACACACGGGAACTTAAAAGTCAAAAAGCACGCGACAGGTCACTTTAAAATCTCCTTTCCTCTCACAGATTCCTTATTGTAAACTGTGCGATAATGCTAATAAATAATCAAATCATAGACTAATGAGTGTTTTGTTCCATACAAAACACTCATTTGCTGATTTCAGCAACTCTCCAAAGTGATAAACGACAGAAGAAAGAAACGGCACGATTTTTCCATCAACATTTCGCCCACATACATCTCTCTAAATGTGAAATTTTCCATTGCTAACAAAACTCTCGAAAGTCGTTTACATTTTCTTGGCTTCCTTGATCAATTATCTTGTATAAAGAGATATAGAATGTAATTTTATTTGCTCATGTGACCGCCTAGGACCGGAATTGCGTGACAGGTGTAGCTAGGTGAAGCTTGTCAGAGTCGCAGATTTTAAAACGCATCCAAGACAAAAATACGACAGTACCCAAAAATCTTTTCGATGCTTTTCAGAGATGAAATGATGGATTATAAAGGGGAATTAAAGCTATTGTTGTAGCTGTCTGGCAAGGGGAGATAATTGACCTCAAAGTTATCAAATATTTGGATGAATCGAAAAGTCTAAAACACAGTCATTTATTTGCCTCTGTTGATTGACAAGCTGGCAACCAAATTGACTGATACTTCAGTCATACATGGAAATAACCAAGTTTGCCTGTTTGAAGTTTAGGGTAGATCCTTTAAATTTTGACAACTAAAAGTAAGGGGACCTTTACATTCTCTTGATCTTGAGCTGAAGGAAATCCAACTCGCACGATAATAAGCTAAAAGACTGCTCTCGCAAGTCTTACAGAAACGCCACGGATAATTTCCAATGCAAATGCTAGATGTCGATCTCTTTATTTACAAGCCACGAATGAATCTAAAACCTTTTTTTTTTGTTTTCGAAAGAAGCTTTCTCGGTAAATTTGGGACTATTTCAGCTCGGATGGAAAATGATAAGTAGTTTATAAGTCGAAAATTGTTTATCGTGAAAATTTTTTTGAGTCAACTCTGCACATCAAGTCCTTCGAGACATTTTAATTTAAAGACATCACTTGTGCTCATGAAACACAAACGCCCCGCGTGTTCATTAGATATCCTAATTTTGGGGTTATGGAAATGGAAAGGATGATTAAAAAGTTTAAAGTGGTAACCACATTGTATATTCACGGACACCTACGGTACTTTTATTTCGAAGTTCTCTTTGTAAATTATTGAGTTAACTCGTAAATAGGAACCCACTATCACAACGTATTAAAAATTTATACTAAAAGACTCTCTTTGAAAGGTGTTTTTGGTAGAAATCTTTAATGATATGTATAGGTTTTCAACACCTACCATACTTGTTCATAACGTACTTATGGCATTTCTGTTTCTTTTGTCATAGCGCAGAATTTCACGTAAACCTTCTGATTTTCCTTCTTGCCATGTCATCTGTACTGTCAATTGATTTTTGGTTGGCAAGTTTTCCTTTAAATAGCAACTTCCCTTTCAACAGAAACAAAGGAAGCTAGAATGGAAGCTGGGAAATAAACGATTTTGTTTGTTTTAACTCTGAAGTGTCCGGTTGAATTACGGAGAAATGTTTGACAGACGGAGCGAGTTGATTTCCAGATCTTAGAGGTAAACGATTTAGAACAGCGTAAGTTTAATACAACGTTTTCTACGATTGCAATACTAGTAACATAAAATTTTTTTCAGGCCTTGTGATTTCGCTCGCTCTACAACATCGTTTCAAATCACTCAGCTTTTGCGTAGCATTTCACGTGAGGCCTGCTTTTACAACCTGAATATTGTGAATTTATTCTAATTGTAAAACAGAGACTTGTTTATCTAGACGATTCAGGTTGCCCTTAGTAACAAACTTAAACCACCGGGTGTTACTGCAAGCTTATATAGATGTAACTGAATGCTCATTATACAATCAGCTCATCAGAAACTATTTAGAAAATGACGCCTCTTTGGAGTTACGGGAAAGGTAAAGCGGAAATTGGTTCATATCATTTTATAACTAAAACAACTTCAAACCTGATTTTCGACTAATATTCCCTTCCGCTCTCATAAAACACAATCATAGCACTCAGACATCCGTTGTTGAAAAAACAAAAGAAAGTGCGGGTTTGTGCGTCAGCAAATTAGGAGCAGCTGGAATCGCCCAAATTCTATTGGTTGTAGTCAACATTTCAGTCGCTTACAAGTCAGTTGCATTAGAGGCGAGGCTAAATATCTCACATCGGCGACGAGATCTCCTCTCATCATGTTTTTTGGTCTTCTTTATCCCCTTCTATTTGAAGTCTCTGCTCTAATTCCAGATCCAGTCTTTTCACAAGGTTCGTTAGACGCGTTTACTAATACGTATCTCTTTTTGTTTTCAGTGTTAGAACATTGATGTTGGTAATATTCAGTTATTCATAGTAATTTAACTCAAAATTTGGATATAGTCAGATGTTCCCTGAATTCGATCAGTCTTTGTTTTTTGTTATATTTTCACTTGGCTAGTGATGGGCGTTGCCGGAATTCTCTTAGGGAGCTTGTTTCAACAATTTGCGTCATAACTTAAAATTCGGGACGCTGTTGAATGGCACAAAGTTTGGTTAACTTCCTTTCACATACATCTGCTGTTGTAAAGTTGCATAGCTCAAGTCAATCTGTTGCCCTCCAACGTTCAGCTTTTCAACTTGGTCAAATGCGACTAACACTCCATCACTCTACATCGACAAATGTTTTTCAAGAGTAAGCTTAGTCATTGATTGAAAAAGCTTTTATTCAGCTTCAATTTAAATTCTTAAGGTAGCCAAAAAAACGGCTACACTCCTTTAAACCTGGATAAAATTACGGTTTACTACAGGCTTTCGACCTTTCCATGCTTTTGCTCAAAATAATTTATCAAAGACTTCCAAAATTGGGTTCGCAGAAACATTCGATTCCTATGTCTGTCAGATCATTGATTGATGTTCTTCATTTTTCCGAAGAAAAGTTTGAAAGCAGTTTGTTATAGTTAGATAATTAATACTGAGGAACACAAATGAATGATAACATTACAGCACCGAAGAGCTAGAAATGTTTACAATTTAAAGGTTTGTGACTTTAATTGCAAAATGTTATTCTAAAATGCTACCTCAGTGAATAAATATGTTAAAGTCACTCAAAATGCGTGTATATTTATGGTAAATGACACGGCAGATGTTGATAACTGAAAAGGTAAGACAATACAACTTTATGTTCGAGAGGTTCCCGGACAACTATTGAATAAGTTAAGATCGAAATGGCTTGTTGAAATGGCTGCGAAAAATCTATCTGTGATATGATCGTTTTAAGGGTTCAACGAAGCGAAATTCTCTTTTTTTTACCAAACTTAATTTTTCACATGTTATCCTTCTTTATCTTGCAAATTATCGCCTGAATTTACCCAAGTTGATCTAGGGCCTCCTGGGCTGAGCACCAAACAGAGTTTGGCGACAACAGAGGAGGAAAATTGTTAATCAAATTTGGCGGAGGTCAAGGGACCCAAGATGTTAAGACAGCTTCAAGCTGTTGACAAAATTTTTATCTGTTTTGCTTCCAATTGCCAAAATTTATGATTTCTAAAATCAAGAAAGGTACCATAGTAACAGTGTCGCAAGATTTCTCCAACCTTTCAGGTACTTGGAATGGATAGCTACTGAATAAAAACGAGGGGGCTGACAAAATTCACCTCCAATTAGAACAAAAAATTTATGGGGAAGTTAAAATTATTTATCAAAGGCTGTTTACCTTGGTCTTGTATGATCTAAAGGCACGTTTCGGCCTCTAATCAAACGTCACATATTGTTAATGCTCAGAATGTTTTTAAATATCTTCATATTTTACTAGGGGGCTAAATATCGTGTAAAACACTTAAAATATCTCATAGGTTTAATCAGCTGATAACCATGACAACAATTCTGGCATAGAACTGAGCATCGTCCCGAAAATAAAGCGAGAGAAAAAATGCACGGATCAGCTTGAATTAGCTCTCGATACTTTAAAATATCTCTCGATTTTATAAACATCCTATGCTTTCCACCATTCTCAGCTACCTCTTCGATGCACTCGACAACATCCTAATACGGCAAGAGTACAAATTTTGTCTTAGTCGTAGAGAGGCAGGGGTCACCCCGAAATTATTGAAAAGAGCTGCGAGGGAAGGGGAGGAGATGAATGAGAAGGAGGAAGGCTGATACTGATCGGCCTTGAAACCATTCTTGAAAAGGTTTTTTCTTTTCTTAGGGTATGCCTCAAACGTTGCAAATTAATGAAGCTGATTAACTACTGACAATAGTAAAATGGTTTTTTATCTCCCTACATGGCGGATTTCGCTAAATGAGTGTTCCTAAGATCTAGAGTCTCATAGTTATGATAGACATCAATTATTTTGAGTGGTATGGGGGTGGGGGGGGGGGGTAGTGTTCTATAGGCCACTTTATCCATTATTGTAACCAGCAAGTCCCTTCCTCGCCACTCCCTCCTGTGAGTGGTGCCATCATGTCCATGTCCTTTTATTACTGAACTGTTCTTCTTTCCTGTTACAGAATCAAACCCCGTGTATCGCGAGGGCAACCTCGCCTCCTCCACAAGAACCTTCCTGAGACGTACATTCATTAAACACGAGTTTCATCACTTGAATGTGCCGCTTGTTGGAACAGTGGCAGTGTCTGATGTGTTTGACTGCACGTTAGAATGTCTCAGCAATCCGTTCTGTTTTTCTGTGAACCTGGCCGCCTTCAAAGGAGCCCATGGAAAGCTTTGGTGCGAAGTGTTGTCATCTGATAAGTTCAGAAACTCCACAGAGTATAAAGGGAATAAAAGTTCGCATCATTTCGCCATTGAGGTAGGAAACATTTCTTAATTTTGACAAATAAACGTGTTAAAAGTTTGACAGCCTTGTCAAGATCGTAAAGAGAAGACAGTCAGGTTAAAGCCACTGCAAATGGTGTCGGTCTGTTGTCGTATTCATTGTGGTGACAACCGTATTTCTATGGCATGTTGTAAAGCATGCAAACACTTTCTCGTGCCGCACACTATCTTACTTACTTACCACCTTTGTTTCCCAGGCACGTCGGCAGACTAAGAAAATACATGTGAGTCAGTTGAAAATTTGAGTCAAGATACCAGATTCTGTTTGTTTAAAGAATGGAATCGTTGTTTAAATCGTCAGTATTTGGTCAGCCTTTAGTCAAGATACCAGATTCTGTTTATTTGAAGAATGGAATCGTTGTTTAAATCGTCAGTATTTGGTCAGCCTTTAGTCAATTTTGTGTTTTAAAATGTTTTATCGATAGACTTCTTCATTTTCTGCAAACGTTCGAAACAGTTAGAAAAGCTTTCCTGACTTATAGATCCCAACGGCTTAGCAATATATTTTAACCTCATAAAGCCACTTTCTCAAATACCGGAAAAGGCAGAAAACTAATCCAAAATCTTAATACTGATAAAAATTAAAAAACACTGATGCTATCAGATGAGGTATGTCTATACCATAAAAATTTATATTAAAACAAATCCGGACCGGATCGACGAAATAGCGCGCCGCGATAGGCGGATTAATGTACTCCCTATTTACCGAACATTTACAGATTTACAGCTGCCTTTCAAAATGAACCATTTTCCTACTTTGTTTCTCTACAGTCACCTTGCTCTTCGTCACCTTGTCAACACGAGGCTACATGTGTCACAAACTATAGAGATGGCTCATTCAGATGCCGCTGTACAGAAGGCTTCAAAGGAGAATATTGTGAAAAAGGTGAATAGTTTAGTATGGTGTTAAATTCTAAAATTCTCAAGTGACTGCGATAAATTGTTCTGCTTTACCTTGCAGCTCGAAGACTTAAAAAATAGCTAGCGAAAATAGATAACTAAAAAAACATTTAATGCAATGCATAAAGATGTTGAATCTCTTGGTGCTCAAGTTGATTAATCATCTGACTGCGAAATCAAGAGGTCTGAGGTGGGGAACTAAATATTTATTTTTAATTTTTACCTCTCGTAAGGGAACAATTATCATTCATCATTTACCACGAAGGAGTGGGGGGGGGAAGTGGAGAATTTTAGAGGATCGCATGATTTTCAGGGGGAAAGGAGGGGGAACAGTTGTCGCCGAAAAGAGTTTAAAAGGGGGGACTGTAGAAATTGGCTGTCAATTTTAAAACTGCTAACGAGTGGGGATCGTAAGAATTTTACAGAGCCTTAACTGAGGGGGGGGGGGAGCGATCTGGTTAATTTTATCGTAACTCAACCAAAATCCTCTGACCCCCTCCATCGGTAGTAAATTATAACCGGTACCAAAGTGATGTTTATCATCTCTTATTGCTCAAAGATTTTGTTCATAGCTTGATACAAGAATGTACAACGACTCTACTTTTGTTTATCCTACTGGACTGTGACAAAGCCTAAATATCTTAAACACCTGACTTTTGTTTTTTTCTCTTTATATTTAGTTATTGGGTCCTGCAAAGAAGCTTACAACCTTCTCAAGTAAGTGATACCAAATTATTACCCTACAGAGCATAAAAAAGATACAAAATTATCGAATAGTTTCGACGTCGAGAGGAAATTTTTTGCCGCAAACAAATATGATCACGAATGGATTTCTTTTCGCGTCAAACAGGTCAAACGCTAGTCAACTGGTTCCACTGTACCTTGACTCTAAACCAATCACAGTTCTCTGTCAGATGGGGAATTTTGGATGTGGAGGTGGAGGATGGACGCCTGTAATGAAGATTAACGGCAGCCAGGTAAGCCTCATTTGGAGGAATATTCTTAGCGGGGTTCTTTTGCGGGTGATGAAGCGCAAGAAAGACATTTTCAGAAGCATCGAAACTATGAGAGAATCTCTTAGCAACTCGTCCATATTCCTCTCGCGGTCCCGCTTACAGAAATTCTTCTGGCATAAGTACGACAATACCCTAATATCTAAAAGCGCGACGAATTGCTAATTAACCCGCCTACAAGTAGGGTATTTGCACTAACAGTATTATTGATTTCATGAAGGTCCTGCCTTTGATGATGCATCGTGTTGTGTATGTTTAAGGATAAATTAAATCCTCTTAATTCTTTTTAGGCAACGTTTCGCTATGACTCTCACTACTGGAGTGATAAAAACCAATACAACACTCCCGGCGGGAGGACTGGGTTTGACTCACAAGAGACCAAGTTACCGACCTATTGGAACACATCTTTCTCCAAGATCTGTCTCGGTATGAAGATAAGTGGACAGCTCAGGTTTATTGTCATTAACAAGCAGGCCAACTCTCTGCACTCACTGATTGCTAATGGGACATACCGCGCTACTTCACTGGGTCGTAACGAGTGGAAGAAGTTGATTGGTGCGCAAGGCTCTTTGCAACTGAACTGTAACAAGGAGGGCTTCAATGCTGGAGGTGACAGAAATGATCATTCTAGAGCAAGAATTGGTTTTATTGCTAACCAGGTAAACCATTGCCACACTTGTGACTCCAGAATTGGGTTTGGCACCGGAGGATATCCTGATAACTCCACTACGTGTGGAAACGTAGCAGCAGTTCGCCCAGATAATGGTGACAGATACATAAAAGCTATGGGATACATTTTGGTGCAGTAAACTCTTTCAATCCATGTATGACCTGAGAAAGCTCACTATAAAAGGGGGAGGGGAGGAAGGGTACTGAAAAAATGTTCTTTCCATCTATCCATCCCCTCTCTCAAAATTAAGTTAAGTAGCATTTTCAAGCGAGTTTTTGTACATTAAGTGGCGTTGTTTATCATTATTTACAATATCCCTGATCCGTGCAACCTGTTTTAAGCGGTCAGCGCGTGTTAGCGTGAGTGACCGCTTAATACAGGCTTGACTATACTACGAGCGCCCTGATTGGTCAAAAACCTATCGTGTATTGTATCAGTAAACCAAAAAGTTAACTTACAAATTTGAAAAAAATATGTAAGTCACTCACCTTCGGCTCGTGATTTACAAACTTCTCTTCCTCTCCCAACATCCCACGTGAGTTTTTAAGCCAGTAAACCAATAGAAAGTGTGGTCTAGTGCTTAAGTATCAATAATTATTACCACTACTAATAATCATTATTAATCATGCTAAAATAGTATTATCAATTACTATTAATTATTAAGATTTGCGAACCAGTCCCTTAACGCAAGAATACATTCAGTTGTGAAGACTTTTAATATACCCAACACCAGGTCTGTACAAAAATACTTTCGACACAAGGGTCTCAATTTACTGCATTTTCTCCACAACAGCTAAAAAAAGTGCATGTGATAATTAGATATCAAGAGGTAAAAATTAAATGAAAAACAAATAAGCAATAAGCAAAAGAATATTTAAATGAGAATTGATTAAAAAAAGGTTTTTCATTTTTTTCTTTTCTGTTTTAGTTCAATTCTCTGTTCAGATGTCAAACATCGCGTTTTCTCAAGGTTTGTTATGTGTTTATTATTAAGAAGGCTCATAGGGTTTTTGCTGAAAGTTGGCGCGCGTGCCAGCGTATCTTCCTTTTTCTAGAAAATTTTGATGTTCTCGCTTTTCTAGGTTACTAGCATCAAAAGGGCGATGAGTAAGGTTCAGACAATCGTTTGCTGTAGTAAATATTATCAAAATGATTTTCGTTGTTAAGCTGAGACTCCACGAAAGGAAGCGCTTGCCAGTGATAATTGGCTTTGTCTTTGATAACCTCCAATTTGCTTTGGTGCAATCTGTCAAATTTTCAGTGTGCAAAATTTGTCCTGCCTACTATTATATTTATAAGCCGAAAAAAACAGGGATTATAAAGCCAGTTGCCTCGCTATTTTATCAACAAACACTTGCAATGGAAGGGCACAAATATGTTAACGTCCAGCAAATCTTAGGAAATTCCACCGAAGGAGACGCGATAAATCTTGCTCGGAAGATCTAGATCTGAGCATGCGTAAACTTTCGAATCTGTCGCCTTTTGGCAATCTTCCCCGCAGTGTTTTCTTTTTGATTGACCTCTTTTCCAGGCGTATAGGACCTATGAATATTAAGGGTGCAGTTTCTGGAAACCTTAGTTTCCATCACATAAAAGCTGTATTGTGTTAAACTGTTTTTAACACACATTTTTCAGAAAACAATCGTGCGATCCTATCGAGCCGCCATGTTTGTTTTATATGTTGACACTTTTAAAGCTCGCGCTATGTTCGCACCCAGATCTCGTGCGCTCAGAATACTCTATGAAGCCTCCTTAAAATCTGAATATTGCTTTTCCCGTCATCATTCGTTTACTCTAAGGAAGAGTATCATATATTTTTTTCAATTATCTGGACACACGTCCAATGAACAATGCCATCAACATTTACACATTTCGTCGTTACGCGGAAATTTGCGCCTTGAAATGCAGCTCAAAATCAAACTTTTTGGAAAATTTGGTTTGTAATTAATACTCTACAACAGTGACATGACGTTTCGGAGAATTCTTTTTCCGGCTGTGTTTGACAGCTGATCCTGACCCCTTACTGACCCCTTAACACATTACATACTCGTCCATGTGACGTCTCTAGTTTACAAAGGTCTTAAAATGCTTCAATGCATAGAGTTGCCTTCTGCGGCTAGAAGGCTAGAAGCACATTTCAGTGAACCAGAAAGGATTTCAGTTCTGGTCAGTACTGACTTTTCATAATCTACTTCCAAATCTAAGGGAACGCCCTGAGGGAATCAAAAAACATACATATATGATAATGCATGAAAGAAATTAAAATACAGATAAAGAAAAAGGAGAAAACATAGGAACCTGTGTTGCTTGCCCTTTTGCAGCGTGCAGAAATCTCTTACGCCAGACCTACACATCTAAGCCCACGCACCACGTACCACGCACCACGCACCACACACCACGCACCACGCACCACGCACCACGCACCACGCACCACGCACCACACACCACCCACCACACCACACACCACGCACCACACCACACACCACACACCACACACCACGCACCACGCACCACGCACCACGCACCACGCACCACGCACCACGCACCACGCACCATGCATCCAAACTCGAAAGAGCGCTGCGTAACACCCGATTCGCACGTGCATGCAGAAAAGGCTATGAAATTCAGCGAAAATAATAGCAGATGCAGATGCTATCGGCAATTAAAAAAAAAACAGGCAAATAAAATAACAGAAGGTTTAAGAATTTTCCAAAAGTGTTACCTTGAAAAAGAAAGGTAAACAGTTTTTTGTACTTCTCAATAGAGGTCACGCAGTCACGCTACAAATACGGCTTCTGCGTGGAATTTCTTGATGGTGGAAACTGGGAACAACATTTTCCAGTCTTGTTTTCTGGAAACATAGCGCAGTTTACAAGTTTCATGGGGCTATTGATATTTACTTTCAAACGAGGGGGCAGAGTTTCCCGTCATCCATTGTCTAGTAAAGCCGAAGTTGTTACACACTGGAACTTAAAAGTCAAAAAGCACGCGACATCTCCTTTCCTCTCACAGTTTCCTTATTGTAAACTGCTATGCTAATAATGCTAATAACCAATGAAATCATAGACTAATGAGTGTTTTGTTCCATGCAAAAGCCATATTTGCTGATTTCAGCAACTCTCCAAAGTGATAAACGACAGAAGAAAGAAACGCTACGATTTTCCCATCAACATTTCGCCCACATACATCTCTCTAAACGTGAAATTTTCCATTCCTAACAAAACTCTCGAAAGTTGTTCACATTTTTTGGCTTCGTCGATCAATCACCTTGTATAAAGAGCTATAGAATGTAGGTTTATTTGCTCAAGTGACCGCTTAGAGCCGGAATTGCGTGACAGGTGTAGTTGAGAGAAGCTTGTCACAGTCGCAGATGTTAAAAGGCGTCCAAGACAAAAATAGGGCAGTACTCAAATATTTTTTTAGTGGTTTTCAGAGATGAAATGATGGATTATAAAGGAGAACTAAAACTAGTGTTGTAGCTGTCTGGCAAGGGGAGATAATTGACCTCAAAGTTATCAAATATTTGAATGAATCGAAAACACAATCATTTGTTTGCCTCTGTTGATTGACAAGCTGTCTACCAAATCTACTCATACTCAAGTCGTACATTCATTAAGGATGTAACAATACGTATGCAAACCTTCAGAGTAATCAGGCAAATATCATCGCATTGAGACCTTCATGCATTTCACCTATTTTAAGGCGATTTCCATCATGAAAACCAAGAAAAACCAGGGGGAGGGAATTTCCCCCAGGAAATAACCAAAACAGAACCAGTTTGCCTGTTTGAGAATTGGAGTAGACCCTTTAAATTTTGACAACTAAAAATAAGGAGACCTTTATACTCTCTTGATCTTGAGCTGAAGGAAATTAACTCGCACGATGATAAACTAATAGACTGCTCTCGCAAGTCTTACAGAAACGCCACAGATAATTTTCAATGCAAATTCTAGATGTCGATTTCTTTATTTACAAGTCACGAATAAATGTAAAACCGATTCTGTTGGTTTCGAAAGAAGCTTTCAAGGTAATTTGTAAGTAATTTAGTAAGTAATTTAGTAAGTCGAAAAGCTTGTATTACGACCGAGTTTGTTTATTGTGAAAATTATTTTGAGTCAACTCTACTCATCAAGTTCTTCAGGACATTTTAATTAAAAGACATCACTTGTGCTCATGAAACACAAACGCCCCCCGTGTTCATTAGATATCCTAATTTTGGGGTTATGGAAATGGAAAGGATGATTAAAAAGTTTAAAGTGGTAACCACATTGTATATTCACGGACACCTACGGTACTTTTATTTCGAAGTTCTCTTTGTAAATTATTGAGTTAACTCGTAAATAGGAACCCACTATCACAACGTATTAAAAATTTATACTAAAAGACTCTCTTTGAAAGGTGTTTTTGGTAGAAATCTTTAATGATATGTATAGGTTTTCAACACCTACTATACTTGTTCATAACGTACTTATGGCATTTCTGTTTCTTTTGTCATAGCGCAGAATTTCACGTAAACCTCCTGATTTTCCTTCTTGCCAAGTCATCTGTATTGTCAATTGATTCTTCGTTGTCAAGTTTTCCTTTAAATAGCAACTTCCCTTTCAACAGAAACAAAGGAAGCTAGAATGGAAGCTGGGAAATAAACGATTTTGTTTGTTTTAACTCTGAAGTGTCCGGTTGAATTACGGAGAAATGTTTGACAGACGGTGCGAGTTGATTTCCAGATCTTAGAGGTAAACGATTTAGAACAGCGTAAGTTTAATACAACGTTTCTACGATTGCAATGCTAGTAACATAAAATTTTTTTCAGGCCTTGTGATTTCGCTCGCTCTACAACATCGTTTCAAATCACTCAGCTTTTGCGTAGCATTTCACGTGAGGCCTGCTTTTACAACCTGAATATTGTGAATTTATTCTAATTGTAAAACAGAGACTTGTTTATCTAGACGATTCAGGTTGCCCTTAGTAACAAACTTAAACCACCGGGTGTTACTGCAAGCTTATATAGATGTAACTGAATGCTCATTACACAATCAGCTCATCAGAAACTATTTAGAAAATGACGCCTCTTTGGAGTTACGAGAAAGGTAAAGCGGAAATTGGTTCATATCATTTTATAACTAAAACAACTTCAAACCTGATTTTCGACTAATATTCCCTTCCGCTCTCATAAAACTCAATCATAGCACTCAGACATCCGTTGTTGAAAAAACAAAAGAAAGTGCGGGTTTGTGCGTCAGCAAATTAGGAGCAGCTGGAATCGCTCAAATTCTATTGGTTGTAGTCAACATTTCAGTCGCTTACAAGTCAGTTGCATTAGAGGCCAGGCTAAATATCTCACATCGGCGACGAGATCTCCTCTCATCATGTTTTTTGGTCTTCTTTATCCCCTCATATTTGAAGTCTCTGCTCTAATTCCAGATCCAGCCTCTTCACAAGGTTTGTTAGACGCGTTTACTAATACGTATCTCTTTTTGTTTTCAGTGTTAGAACATTGATGTTGGTAATATTCAGTTATTTATAGTAACTCAACTCAGAATCTGGATATAAGTCAGATGTTCTCAGAATTCGATCAGTCTTCGTTTTTTGTTATAGTTTCACTTGGCTAGTGATGGGCGTTGAATGCTCTAAGGAAACTTGTTTTAACAATTTGCATTATAACTTATAATTTGGGGCGCTGTTGAATGGCACATAGTTTAGTTAACTACCTTTCATATATATCTGCTGTTATAAAGTTGCATAATTCAAGCCAATCTGTTGCCCTCTAACGTTCAGCTTTTCAACTTGGTCAAATGCAATTAACATTCCATCACTCTATATCGAAAAATGTTTTTCAAGAGTAAGCTTAGTCATTGATTGAAAAAGCCTTTATTCAGCTTCAATTTAAATTCTAAATGTAGCCAAAAAAACAGCTACACTCCTTTAAACCTTGATAAAATTACATAGGTTTACCACAGGCTTTCGACCTTGGCATACTCAAAATAATTTATCAAAGACTTCCAAAATTGGGTTCGCAGAAACATTCGATTCCTATGTCTATCATATAATTGATTGATGTTCTTCATTTTTCCGAAGAAAAGTTTGAAAGCAGTTTGTTATAGTTAGATAATTAATTCTGAGGAACACAAATGAATGATAACATTACAGCAACGAAGAGCTAGAAATGTTTACAATTTAAAGGTTTGTGACTTTAATTGCAAAATGTTATTCTAAAATGTTACCTCAGTGAATAAGTATATTAAAGTCACTCAAAATGCGTGTATATTTATGGTAAATGACACGGCAACTTTATGTTTGAGAGGTTCCTGAACGACTATTGAATCAAGATCAAGTAAATTAAGATCGAAATGGCTTGTTGAAATGGTTGCGAAAAATCTATCTGTGATATGATCGTTTTAAGTGTTCAACGAAGCGAATTTCTCTTTTTTTTACCAAACTTAACATCTGAATATTGCTTTTCCCGTCATCATTCGTTTACACGTAGGAAGAGAACCTTTTTTTTTTCAATTATCTGGACACACGTCCAATGAACAATGCCATCAACGTTTACACATTTCCTCGTTACAAGGAAATTTGTGCTTTGAAATTTAGCTCAAAACCAAACTTTTTTGAAAATTTGGTATGTTTTTATACTCTAAAACAGTTACATGACGTTTCGAAGATGTCTATCTCCGGCTGTCACAAAACATTGACCCCCTCTTAAATTTACTTGGAAAAATGAACCTACAATTCCTTGTTGAATGGAATTCACCTATTTTGAGACAATTTCCATAGTGAAAACCAAGAAAACCTGGGGGGGGGGGTCGGTCTATTTCGCCCCGGAGTTTTGGGGTAGACCCTTTAAATTCTGACAACTAAAAATAAGGGGACCTTTACATTGTCTTGATCTTGAGCTGAAGGAAATTTAACCCGTATGATGATAAACCAATAGACTGCTCTGGCAAGTCTTACAGAAACGCCACAAATAAATTTCTATGCAAATTCTAGATGTCGATCTCTTTATTTACAAGCCACGAATGAATGTAAAACAGATTCTGTTGGTTTCTAAAGAAGCTTTCAAGGTAATTTTGGGACTATTTCAGGCTGGATGGCAAATGATAAGTAGTTTGTATGTTGAAAAGCTTGTATTAGGACCGAATTTGTTTATGATGAAAATTTTTTTGTGTCAACTCTACTCATCAAGTTCTTCAAGACATTTAATTAAAAGACATCACTTGTGCTCATGAATCACAAACGCCCTCCGCGTTCATTAGATATCTGAATTTTTGGGTTGTGGAAATGCAACATATGGCGAAAAAGTTTATATTGTAATATATAAAAAATATTGTATGATCACTGACACGGTAAGTTTATTTCGAAGTCCTCTTAGTAAATTAAACAAACTCAAACCACCGGGTGTTACTGCAAGCTTATATAGATGTAAGTGAATGCCCATTGCGCAATCAGCTCATCAGAAACTATTTAGAAAATGATGCCTCTTTGGAGTTATGGGAAAGGTAAAGCGGAAATTGGGTCATAAGATTTTAAAACTAAAACAACTTAAAAACCTGATTTTCGACTCGTATTCCCATCCGCTATCATAAAACTAATCATAGCACTGAGACATCCATTGTTGCAAAAACAAAGGAATGTGCTGGTTTGTACGTCAACAACTTAGGAGCAGCTGGAATCGCTCTAAGTCTATTGGTTGTAGTCAACATCTCAGTCGCTTACAAGTCAGTTTCATCAGAGGCCAGGCTAAATATCTCACATCAGCGACGAGATCTCCTCTCAACATGTTTTTTGTTTTTTTTTATCCCCTTCTATTTGAACTCTCTGCTCTAATTCCAGATCCAGCCTTTTCAAAAGGTTTGTTAGACGCGTTTGTTAATGCGTATCTCTTATTATTTTCAGTGTTAGAACATTGATGTTGGTAATATTCATTTTTTTTATCGTAATTCAACTCAGAATCTGGATATAAGTCCGATGTTCCCTGAATTCTATCAGTCTTTGTTTTTTGTTATATTTTCACTAGGCTAGTGATGGGCGTTGAATACTCTTTAGAAACTTGTTTCGACAATTTGCATTATAACTTATATAACATAGGACGCTGTTGAATGGCACAAAGTTTAGTTAACGTCGTTTCATATATATCTGTTTTCATAAAGTTGCATAGTTCAAGTCAATCTGTTGCCCTTCAACATTCAGCGCTTCAACTTGGTCAAATGCGACTAACACTCCATCGCTCTACATCGAAAAATGTTTTTCAAGACTAAGCTTAGTCTTTGATTGAGAAAGCCTTCATTCAGCTTCAATTTAAATTCTAAAGCCAAAAAAACAGCTACACTCCTGGGCTGAGCACCAAACAGAGTTTGGCGACAACAGTGGGGGAAAATTGTAAGTCAAATTTGGCGGAAGTCAAGGGACCCAAGATGTTAAGACAGCTTCAAGCTGTTGACAAAATAATAACTGTTTTGCTTTCAGCTGGCAAAATTTATGAATTCCAAAATCAAGAAAGGTATCATAGTAACAGTGTCGCAAGATTTCTTTAACCTTTCAGGTACTTGGAATGGATAGCTGCTAAATAAAAACGAGGGAGCTGACAAAATATACCTCTAATTAGAACAAAAAAATTCATGGGGAAGTTAAAGTTATTTATTAAAGACTGTTTACCTTGGTCTCGTTTGATCTAAAAGCACGTTTCGGCCTCTAATCAAATGTCACATACCTTTCTGTAAATGCTCAGAATGTTTTTAAATATCTTAATATTTTACTAGAGGGCTAAATATCGTGTAAAACACTAAAAATATCTCATAGGTTTAATCTGATAAGCTGATATTTAAACTGATAACCATGACAACAATTCTGGCATAAAACAGAGTACTGTTCCGAAAACAAAGCGAGAGAAAAATGCACGGATCAGCTTAAAATTAGCTCTCGATACTTCAAAATATCACTCGATTTTATAAATATCTTATGGTTTCCACCGTTCTCAGTTACCTCTTGGATGTACTCTACAACATCCTAAAAAGGCAAGAGTAAAAATTTTGTTTTAGTCGTAGAGAGGCAGGGGTCACCCCGAAATTATTGAAAAAAGCTGCGAGGGAAGGGGAGGAGATGAATGAGAAGGAGTAAGGCTGATACTGATCGGCCTTGGAACCATTCTTGAAAAGGTTTTTCCTTTTTTAAGGGTATGCCTCAAACGTTGCAATTTAATGAAGCTGATTTACTACTGACAATAGCAAAACGGTTTTTTATCTCCTTACATAGCGGATTCTGCTAAATGAATGTTCATAATATCTAGAGTCCCACAGTTATGATATACAGTAATTATTTTGAGTGATATAGGGGAGGGGGGGTGGGTAGTGTTCTATAGGCCACTTCATCCATTCTTGTAACCAGCAAGTCCCTTCCTCCCCACTCCCTCCTGTGAGTGGTGCCATCATGTCCTTTTATTACTGGACTGTTCTTCTTTCCTGTTACAGAATCAAACCCTGTGTATCGCGAGGGCAACCTCGCCTCCTCCACAAGAACCTTCCTGAAGCGAACATTTATTAAACACGAGTTTCATCACTTGAATGTGCCGCTTGTTGGAACAGCGGCAGTGTCTGATGTATTTGACTGCACGTTAGAATGTCTCAGCAATCCGTTCTGTTTTTCTGTAAACCTGGCCGCCTCCAAAGGAGCCCATGGAAAACTTTGGTGCGAGTTGTTGTCATCTGAAAAGTTCAGAAACTCCACAGAGTATAAAGGGAATAAAAGTTCGCATCATTTTGCCATTGAGGTAGGAAGCACTCTTAATTTTGACAAGTAAACGTGTTAAAAGTTTGACAGCTTTGTCAAGATCGTAGAAAGAAGGCAGTCAGGTTAAAGCCACTGCAAATGGTGTCGGTCTGTTGTCGTATTCATAGTGGTGACAACTGTATTTTCATGGCATGTTGTAAAGCATGCAAACACTTTCTCGTGCCGCGCACTATCTTACTTACTTACCACCTTTGTTTCCCAGGCACGTCGGCAGACTAAGAAAATACATGTGACTCGGTTGAAAATTTGAGTCAAGATACCAGATTCTGTTTATTTAAAGAATGGATTATTGTTTAAATCGTCAGTACTTGGTCAGCCTTTTAGTCAATTTTTGTTTTAAAATGTTTCATCGACAGACTTCTTCAGTTTCTGCGGACGTTCGAAACAGTTAGAAAATCTTTCCAGACTCATAGATCCCGACGGCTTCGCAATATATTTTTAATCTCATAAAGCCACTTTCTAAAATACCAGCAAAGGAAGTAAACTCAGCAAAAATCTTAATACTGTAAATGAAAATAAAAAAATAAATAAATAAAAAAGCCTAGATGCTATCTTATGAGGTTTATACCATGAAAAAATTTTACTAAAGCAAATCCGGACCGGATTGACGGAATAACGCGGATTGGCAGATTCATGTATTCCCTATTCAAAGTACATGGAACATTTTCCTACTTTGTTTCTCTACAGTCACCTTGCTCTTCGTCACCTTGTCAACACGAAGCTACCTGTGTCACAAACTATAGAGATGGCTCGTTCGGATGCCGCTGTGCAAAAGGCTTCAAAGGAGAATATTGTAAAAAAGGTGAAAAGTTTGGCATGCCGTTACATACTTTATTTCACAAGTGACTGTAAATTTTTTACTTAACTTTGCGGCTCGAAAATGTTCTAAAATAGCTAGCGAAAATATATAACAAAAAAAATATTAAATGCAATGCATGAAGATGTTGAATCTGTCGATGTTCAAGTTAATTAAGCATCTGACGGAGAAATAGAAAGGTCTGAGGTGGGGAACTGAATATGTATTTTTCTTTTTACTAACCTCTCCTCAGGCACCAATTATTATTTTTTATCACGGGGGAGGGGGGTGGAGGATTTGGAGGATCACATGATTTTCAGGGGGACTGAGGAGAGCGGATACGTGAAAATATTGCAGAGCCTTGACTGAGGGGGGGGGGGGGTTACTTTCATCGTGCCACAACCAAAATCCTCCCCCCCCTCCCTCCACCGGCAGTAAATTATAACTGGTACCAAAGTAATATTTAAAATCTCTTATTGCTCAAAGGTTTTGCTAATAGCTTGGTACAAAAATGTGCAACTACTCTACTTTTGTGTCCCCTACTGGACTGTGATGGAGCCTAAATATCTCAAACACCTGACTTTTATTTTTTTTCTTTACATTTAGTTAATGGGTCCTGCAAAGAAGCTTACAACCTTTTCAAGTAAGTGATACCAAATGATTATCTTTTCGAGCATAAAATAAAGACAAAATTATCGAATAGTTTCGACGTCAAGAGAAGATTGTTCGCCGGAAACTAATATGATCACGGGGTAATTTATTATTATCAACTGCGTTAATAACGTAAATTAGCTACCGTAAAGAGTTTCAAAGCTGACGTTTCGAGCAATTGACGAAGGGCTCTGACGAAGGACCAACGCTCGAAACGTCAGCTTTGAAACCCTTTACGGTGGCCTATTTACGTTATCAACTCAGTTGATAATACTAAATTACCCTGTCATACTCTCCCATCGACGCAGCACCACAGTTTCTTTAGAAACTTACCCCCTCTAATAATATGATCAAGAATGGATGTTTTCGTATCAAGCAGGTCAAACGCCAGTCAACTGGTTCTACTGGACCTTGACTCTAAACCAATCACAGTCCTCTGTCAGATGGGGGATTTTGGATGCGGAAATGGAGGATGGACGCCTCTAATGAAGATTGACGGCAGCAAGGTAAGCATCATTTGGCGGAATATTCTTGGCGGGGTTTTCTTACGGGTGATGAAGCGCGAGCAAGAAATTTTCAGAAGCGTCGAAACTACGATAGAATCTCTTAGCAACTCGCCCATATTCTTATCGCGGTCCCTGCTTGCGGAAATTCCTCTGGCATGAGTGCTACAATACCCTAATATCTAAAACGCCTGCAAGGACCTGCAAATAGGGTATAGGTTGATGGCTTGTACGCGAACTGTGTTACTGATTTAATGAGGGTCCTGCCTCGGTGATGCATCGTGTTATTTATGTTTCAGGATAAATTAAATCTTCTTAATTCTTTTCAGGCAACGTTTGACTATGACTCTCACTACTGGAGTGATAAAAACCAATACAACATCCCCGGCGGGAGGACTGGGTTTGACTCACAAGAGACCAAGTTACCGACCTATTGGAACACACCTTTCTCCAAGATCTGTCTCGGTATGAAGATAAGTGGACAGCTCAGGTTTATTGTCATTAACAAACAGGCCAACTCTCTGTACTCTTTGATTGCTGATGGGACATACCGCGCTACTTCACTGGGTCGTAACGAGTGGAAGAAGTTGATTGGTGCGGAGGGCTCTTTGCAACTGGGCTGTAACAAGGAGGGCTTCAATGCTGTGGGTACTACGAGGTATGCTTCTAAAGCAAGAATTGGTTATACTGCTGACGATCGAAACGATTGTAGCTCTTGTAACTCCAGAATTGGGTTTGGTACCGGAGGATATCCTGATAGCTCCACTACATGTGGAAACGTAGCACGTCATTCCCCAGATAACGGTGACAGATATATCAAAGCTATGGGATATATTTTGGTGCAGTAAACTCTTTAAATCCATGTATTACGTTAGAAAACTCACGAAGAATGGGGGAGGGGAGGTGGGGTACTGAAGAGCTCTTTTCCATCTATCCATCCCTCCTCTTTCTCCCCTCAAACGCCAAAGTGAGAACTTGCTAAGCAGACGATAGATTGCTTGCTGTTTAGTTCGGCCTCTAAATTGCTTTTTTTCTAATATGCGGCGAGTGTGAAGACGAGAAGAGACTTGAGTAAGGACTTTATCCGCATGGGTTCCGTTTGTACAACTTTTGAGCCCTCAGTTTTACGGAAATTCAGTCGACTGGTTACTAAAACTACTGTGATGTTTAAATCTTAAAAAAGAAGCAAAGCCAGGATAACAACACGAGAACATTTTCAGGCACTCGCTAAACATTACCACTAATACGCCCTTGCTGACCATGCCAAAAGCCACCTTTTGGCGTCGGCAAAAGTGATAAGCATTGTAAAATTAACAAAAAATGGCATTATTCCTTCATGTTGAGGTCGCCCCTTGATGCCAACTTCGGTCGTTATTTCTGATGCTATTTTATTATTATTATTATTTTTTTTTTTTTGAGCTCAGAAGCCTTACATAGATTTACAAACATCCTTTATATATACGTACTTATGAACGAGAATATATACTCTCAATTGAAATGGTTTTATCAAAGAAAAAAAGCAGAAATGAATAAAGGAAAAAGCCAAAGAGGAACTGTTTGGAGAAATCTAAATTCTAAGTATTCATGTTGGATACTGCGCATGTGTGAAAAATAAGTCAGAAGACGGGAGAGAACAAGTACTTCAAACTTACTCACACTTCAAAAAAAAGTTTCGTAACTAATCAAATTATATTGAGCTTTCTGTTTTGCTTTCTGCATATTTCTTTGACAACCTTTTTGCCTTAAGTTGTACTTGTATTCATGTCTATTCAACTTTATAAGATAACTGAGATACAATAGAACCTGTATTTAGCGGTCACCCTGTATTGAGCGATCAGTTGTCAAAGTCCCAAAGTCACTGCAATGTTCATCTCTGTTAAGCGGTTACCTCTACTAAGTGGTCGCAGTCAACCTATGTATCTAGTCTCAATAGCCAGTTTTTATCGTTCTCCTCCTTTATCGAACGGTCACTGAAAACACGACCACTCAAATAAAACTAAGAATAATCCTTCAAGTAATTTTTGATCCACGTTTCTCGCCCAAAATTAAAGTAATATTTTCGAGCGAGGTTTTGTACATCAAGTGGTCAATTACAGCATAAAGAGGGGTTGTTTATCGTTTTTTGTAACATTCCTAATCTGTGAAACCTATGTCAAGTGGTCACCCGCCATTTACCATGGGCTTGATAAAGGTTTGACTGTACTACGAGCGCCCTGATTGGTCAAAAACCTGTAAACCCATTTGAAAAGTTTGTCAGTCACTCACCTTTGGTTCGTGAGTTACAAACCTCTCTTCCTCCTTCAACATCCCACGTGAGTTATTAAGCCGGTAAAAAGTGTGGTCCTTTGTTTAATTATTATTTATTATTATTACTAATAATAACTATTATTAATTATTATTAATCATTACGATTTGCAGACTAGCCCTTAATACAAGTAGGTAATCACTTGTAAAGACTTTACTATACCTAACACTAGGACCCAGTTGTATAAAGGGTGGATAACGCTATCAAACTGATAAATCGCTATCCAGCGGATAAGTGATAGCAAACCGTATAGCGTTATCCACCGGATAGAGATTTAACCAGTGGATAGCGTTATCCGATCATCGAACAACCGGGGCCTGGTCTGTACAAAAAAATACGTCCGACACAAGAACCTTATTATACTGCAGTTTCTCCACAACAGCTAGAAAAAGTGCATATGATAATTTGATAACAATAGCTATAAAATGAATGAAAAACAAGTAAGTCATTATTCACCACTTGGATGGTTTATTTGGATCCAACATAATGACCAGCTCCCAGTTAGCTCATTAGCTTAGTTCGTAGAGCGCTGCACCAGTGTCGCAGAGGTCATGGGTTCAAATCCCGTACGGGCCTGAATTTTTTTCAGGTCTTATTTCAACTACTAGTGCAGTAGTGTTCATAGCTGCGAGGATCGTTTATATTCGTTTCTTCACCGCAGTGAACAAATATGATTTTTCATATATTTACAGTCATTAGGCAAAAGATTATTTGAATAAAAATAAATTAAAAAGAGGGGCGCCGAGACACCATATTAGAAACGCCACAGTAAGACAATACAACTAGAATGAAGATTTCTAATTCAAATTCATAATTATGTAAAATGTTTGCAATTAGAAGAATTACAATATAGTGGAGTAATCTTAGAATTGAATGTTCACTGTGCCAAATACAAGGGTTAATCAGATACTTTAAATAAGATGATGTCTGCTCGGAATAAAGGTTACAAATAATGAATACCGTATATCCTCGACTGAGCGCCCACGCTCTAATAAGTGCCCTTCCCCGAATAAGTGCCTGCTCCCTCTTTCATAATGTCAAAAAAGCGTCCCCTCCCCCTTTGAATAAGCGCCTGCTCCCTCTTTCATAATGCCAAAAAAGCGTCCCCCCTCCCCCTTTGAATAAGCGCCCACCTCTCCCCTCACTTTCTCAGTGGTAGGAATACAAGGAAAAATTGTTTCTATTGGCATGTTTGAGTGAACAATGACTGCATTGGTTTGCACGTCAGAAAACTCGAAGCAGCTGCAATCATTTTTAAAATTCTATTGGTTGAAATCAGCGCCATGGAAATCTTCACAGGAAAATTAGTTCTTGACTGCAGCTCGTCACCGATCGCATTTGAAACAAAGCTAAGATTCTTTCCTTTGCTGACGAGAAGATTCGATTTCTTTTAACATGTTTTTTTATTTTTTTCCATTCCGTTTTATTTCAATTCTCTGCTCTGATGTCAGAAACAGCGTTTTTTTTTTCTCAAGGTTTTTTACTTGCACTTGATACTTGTTTGATGTTAGCATCTGAATATTGCTTTTCCCCGTTATTATTCGTTTATACTTGGGAAGAGGAATTAATTATCTGGACACAGGACCAATGAATAATGCCATCAACGCTTAAACATTCCCTCGTTACGAGGAACTGATTTGTGCTCTGAAGTGTAGCTAAAAACCAAACTTTATTGAGAATTAATCATACGTTGGTACGTTTATTTCGAAGTCCTCTATGTAAATTATTGAGTTAACACGTAAATAGGAACCCATTTTCACAACTTATTAAAAATTTATACCAAAAGGCTCTCTTTTGTTCTAAATCTTTAATGATATGTATAGGTCTCCAAAACCTAATAATTGTTCATAACCCACATGTGGCATTTCTGTTTTTTTTTTTTGTCATAGCGCAGAATTTCACGACAACCCTCTGATTTTCCTTCTTACCAAGTCATCTGTACTGTCAATTGATTTTTCGTTGGCAAGTTTTTCCTTAAATAGCAACTTTGGCCTTGATATACTCGAAATTATTTTTCATTAACACTGCCGTCGCAAACTTGTCAATGGAAAAACTTATCAGGTTACACTTCCTTTATCATTATTATTAACCCTTCCCTCGCACTCCTAATGGCCAAGATCTAACTCGCAGTATTATAAATTATCCGGGAAAATAAGCGACGAAAGGAAAAGGAAGAGAGGGAATAAACGATTTTGTTTGTTTTAACGCTAAAATGTCACAGCGGAGAAATGTTCGACAGACGGTGCGCAGAGTTGGTTTATAGATCCCAGAAGAAAGCGAGTTGATACGGCGGCGTTAGTTTAATACAACGTTTTCCGCGATTGCAATACTAGTGACATGGAAATATTTTCAGGCCTTGTGATTTCGGTGATTCTACAACATTATTTCAAAGCACTCAGCTTTAGCTGAGCATTTCACGTGAGGCCTACGTTTACAACCTGGATATTGTAAATTTATCCTAATTTTAAAACAGAGAATTTTATCTGGACGATTCACGTTGCCCTCAGAAACAAACCCAAACGACTGAATGTTAATGGAAAGCTTAGGTGTAAGTAAATGCTCATTGCGCGATCAGTTCATCCGATACTATTTAAAAAATGTTCCCTTTTTGGAATTAAGGGAAGAGTAAAACGGAAATTGGGTCATGGGATCATTTATAACTAAAACGAGTTCAAACCCCATTTTTGACTCGTCTTCCCCTCCACCCTTATAAAACTCAATCATAGCACTGAGACATATTTTTGTTCCAAAAACAAAGGAAAGGGCTGGTTTGTACGTCAGCAAATTGGTAGCAGCTGGAATCGCTCAAATTATATTGGTTGTAGTCAATATTTCGGTTGCTTACAAGTCGCATAAGAGGCAAGGCTAAATATCTCACATCAGCGACGAGATCCCCTCTCAACATGTTTTTTGGTCTTTTTTGTCCCCTTTTATTTGAAGTCTCTGCTCTAATTCCAGATCAAGCCTTTTCAAAAGGTTTGTTAGACGCGTTTGAATTGTATCTCTTATTATTTTTAGTGTTAGAACATTGATGTTAGCAATATTCATTCATTTATATTCATTCAACCCAGAATCTGGATATAAGTCCGATGTTCCCTGACTTCCATCAGTCTTCGTTTTTTTCGGTTATATTTCCTCTTGGCTTGTGGTGATGGGAGTTGAATTCTCTTTAGAAACTTGTTTCAACAGTTTTCTTTAAACCTGATATCTTAGGACGCTATTGAATGGCATAATCTCAATGTTTAATTAACTTCCTTTCATATATATCTGCTGTTGTAAAATTTAATTTGTGAAAGTTGAAAAGTTGAAGTCGATCTGTTGCCCTATGACGTTCAACAGTTCAACTTTGTCAAATGCAAATAACACTCCATCACTCCACATTAAAAAATATTTTTCAAGACTAAGCTAGGCCATTGATTGAAAAAGCCTTTATTCAACTTCAAGTTAAATTCTAAATGTAGCCAAAAAACGGCAACATTTCTTTAGACGTGGATAAAATTGCGGAGGTTAACTACAGGCTATCGACCTTGCCAAGCTTTTACT